CTGCAACATTGTGCCACTGTGACACAGTGTCAAAAGTGCATGATGAAGGCAGCCCAGATAAGGTTCAAATAGATCTACAACTAGATCTGCAGAAACCTTAAATGGACAAATAATCACAAAATCAGAAAAGCTTCATCTAAGTTGTTAATATGAAGGAGGTTTTTTAAATGAGATTTAAGAAGTTTTAGAAGATTCAGAAGTTTTCGCAGAGGTTGAGAATGTTAATAGTCCCGATAGAGATCTTTAATAACAAATTATTTCAATGGTTGGTGAGCCAGTAACAAAAGGGGCACAGATTTAATAAAATCACAAAAAGAATTAAAAGGGAGCTTAGATCAACGTTTCTAAAGCTAATATTTTTTTTACAGTGAGTGGTTGAAAAGCGAAATTCGCTTCCACAGCAGCATCCACAAAGTCTTTTAAAAGGAAGGTAATAATAATAATAATAATAATCCTTGCATTTGATATAGCGCTTTTCACGTCGGGAGGACGTCCCAAAGCGCTTCACAGAACACACTGTAAAGTGAATTGACTGTATATTTGTGGGCGAACACGGCAGCCAATTGCGCACAGCAATGTCCCACAAACAGTCATGGATTGAAAATGACCAATTTATTATTGTTTTGTTTTTTTGGAGGGATTATTATTGGACGTGTGGAGTAAGGAAACTTGCCCAAGGTTTCGCCCTGCCTGGAATTGAACTCAGGTCTCTCGCTTGCAAAGCGAGTGCTCTAACCACTGAGCTACAGGACTCCACAAATGCTCCACAGGTAGACAAATGCTTGAAGAGGAATGTTAAAGGTTATGGGGATCAAGCAGGGGAATGAGATTAGCTTGGAGAAAAATATCAGCACAAATTGAGCAGTACAATACCTGTTTCTGTGCTGCAATATTCTATGATTCTCACTCAGGAATGTTAATATCTGCTGCACTCTCAAGTGTGGACTTCATCAATAATGCTCCGAAACTCTGGAACACTCTCTATCAATCTCTCCCCTTTTTCAAGTCTCATCTGAAAACCTTCCTCTTTGGCCATGCTTTACGGCAATTTCCACCTCCCCCCCCCCATCCCCCACACCCTCAGCTTGGAGTCAGGCTCTGCCACTGTTAAGCGCTCTGAGATGCTACCCTGCGTGGAGGGCGCTATGTAAGTGCAAGTTGTTGTATAACAATGTATTTATTTGAACAGGATGTGTCAGCCTGGCTCAGTTTGTATAACTGAGTCAGAAGGCAGTGGGTTCAAACGCCACATTGAGACTTTGAACTCACAGACTACACTGCTATCCAATACACTGCTTGAAAGTGCCATCTTTCAGAGGAGATGTTAAACTGAAGCACCATTTTGCTGGTTAAGGTGGACGTTACAGGCACTATTCATAAAGAGAAAGGAGTTTTTGACTATTATGCTTGGGAGTGAGGCACTTCTGGCTGACTTCGAAGTGGTACAATCTAGCTGACAAGTTATATTGTGACTCTTCATTGTCACCCAGGGTAAAGAGTGGAATACTACTACTAATAATAATCCTTACATTTGACATAGCGCCATATCAAGTCTTCCAGATGTCTCAAAGCACTTCACAGAATATACTGTAAAGTGAATTGACTGTATAATTTGTGGGTGAAATGCAGCAGCCAATTGCGCACAGCATGCACAGATTCTGCTCATACAAACTCACATAAAGCTCCATTAAAGTAGAATACTCATTAGATTTTGATATTATTAAATACACAGCTATGTTTCTGTCAAACACTAGCTTCAGGTCCCCCGCCTGATCTGTTCCACTATCAATGGGTGAGCTTTCTAGAGATTTACTCCTGCTCTCTGGACCTCCTTCCTAGAGTTCAACAACAACAACATTCACTTATAAAGTGCCCTTCACATGGTAGCATCTCGGAGTGCTTAGTTCCTCTGCCTTGCCTCCAATCCTCCGCATCTTTCCTAAGATCTAGCTCTTTGATTGTGTTTTTAGCCACTTTTTGTTTCCAGCTCACCTTGGAATCAAAAGTTACCCTCCACACTCAGTTTGGGATCCCAGTCAGGTGTGTGAAGCACTATAAACTTTGTGAAAGGCACTATCACAAAAATGGAAATGGAAAGTGTTGTTCAAAATTCACTTTGTTTTGCTTGCATTTATACTGCAGCTGCCTTTTCTAAATCAGGTCTGGCCATCCAAAACGGCAGTTATGCGACAGACTTTGCAGCTGTGCTAAAAGTAAACACTGAACCAATTCTAACAGTCTAGTATAACCACCCTATCTCACTCTGCTTTAAACACTCTTAACATCCCTATGCCCTACAGCCTACATTTCACCCACAAAATACAGTCAATTCACTTTACAGTATATTCTGTGAAGCACTTTAAGGCATCTCAACAATCAAATTATATCAAATGCAAGGATTATTATTATAGTATACAGGTTTTAGAATATAAATCTATAAAGCATAATGCATTGAATAACCACAGTAGCTTCATACATTGACAACCATATTTTAATTTTATTAGTAGGATCTCTATTGAAGCATTGCAAACAAATCCATAACTCAGTGAAAACTGAAAGAAAACACTAAAACTTTATTTCTACCATATTTCTACAGAGGAATGACACAACTAAATGTTATGTTTATGAAAATGGCAATGACATTCTTAGACAATCGCCTACAAATACCCAGTCACTATATTTAACCATGAAGTCTACAGAATGCTTAAAAACATCTTGGTGATGAATAAGGTGCTATACCAAATGCAACAATTATTATTATATTAATTATTATTATTTAGCAGTAGTTTATTCTTGAAAATGGAAGTGAAGCAATATTTCAATAGTCCTAGTGCATAGTCCTAGGACAATGTATTTGCAAGCAACACATTTTCTGTTAGGAAACATCTCAAGCAGCTCTTTTCATTGTACATTTCAAGCCTTTGCATGTTAGACAAGCGGCTTCTTAGCTCCATTTTACAGTAAAATAATGGGTGAAGAATATAATGTTTTAATATGTACTTCAGAACAGGTTATATAAGTTTAAGAGGATGTTCTTTCAAAAGTTTACGTTATAAGTGGATTACAGTATTACTCCACCTCCTCCTTATAGCATTGACACCATGTGCCATGTATTAGACCAACTACTGCCAGAGGACATCAGATTGGAGGCCAGTGTATTACATTCCTGTTACAGTAGGGTAGTCAACTCATCTTTTTCACAGTTGGCCAGCATTCAATATATTTGTATGATCATAGCATTGTATTTTTCTCATTAGATTAGCCTAGACGTCATACAAAATTGACTGTGGCCATCATGTGGAATGCAGTGCTAGACCCGCCAGGCATACATCTAACTTGCACAGACTGACTATTTGTCTTGTTGCTGAAGCATGTCATATTACCCTGGGTAATTGCATGCTCTCTATCGTAAGGATCTAATGAAGCAATTTTCATTTGGTAGGAGTGACCTGAAAAGAATTGAATAATGTAACTGCCCATCTCAACTTTAAACCATTAAAGTTAATAGATTTTGATGAGCCTAGCATGGCTCTTCCAAACCAAATGACTGGTCGTGGATAATTTTAAGTGCACTTTTGAGTCCCTTCACAGCTTTTGCTAGAGTACGCCAACTTTGCCTCAATTAGAGGTGACGTGCTTTGAAATACTCAGGGACAAATTTATCCGACAAATATAAAACATTAGCTGTTTACATATATACTTGGACAAATTGCATTTAAAGCTCACAGCCCCATGCTTGTGGCTTTGTTCTGCCATTTACTTTTGTGTCATGCTCAACATTCATACATACATCATTTTTTAAAGCCACAATTGTTGGGTAGTTCCCCATGAAGTGACCAGACCACATAGAGGAAAGGGGTACAGATGGAATCTGACAATAGATACTTTTAGTTAGCTATGTTTTTAAGTATGCAAGAATTGGGAATGGAATCTAAGCAATAGGCATGGCTACCCAGTTTGCTCGTTGTTTTTTCCGTACTTTGGAAAATCTGTGAAACATGAGTTGTTCAGAGTTGAATGAATGAAGTGTTGTGAAATGTTACAACATTAAACTTTAATAAAGTTATTGTTTTCCCCCCATAAACTGACATAAAATAACAGCAGGAAAACAGAAGATGCCCCCACCTTTCCAACCTAAAATTCCTGATAATGCTGAAGAAAATCTAAGCAGAGCCTGGAGAGAGTGGGAAAGGCAGAATTATGGGTGGCACAGACTATAGTGCGGAGGATGACTTTATTGTTCATTCCAAAATGAATAAGTCAACTAATCCCTTCCACAATGGGCCAACATTTTATGAATTTATAGGATAAGAGCAATCTATTTTTCTCATTAAATTAGACTTTAGATAGACATCATAAAACAAAAACCTGTCTTTGAAATGCTGAAGATGGTTTTCCAGATGTCCCTATGTTTTTCTGTTTTCAGTTCTGATCACCACTGAACCTGAGCAGCAGCTAGAGTGGGAAATGATGTTGAGCATCAGCAGCTCTTGGCCATAGATCCCACTGCACCCCCATTCAGAACACAACAGCAACCAACACTATCAATGCCATTGTAGCAAATGGCAGGATATAGTAGAGGAAAATGGGTGATTCATAGACCACTGGAGGAGATTCTGCCAACTAGCAGATTTTAAGGTAGAAAATTCATCTCAATGAGTAAGACCACCACAGAAATCAACTCTTGAACCTTCACAGTAACCAAATCTTAGTTTTTCCATAATTATCAGCTCAGAATCCCAATATAAGTTCAATATACATAAGCCTACAAATCACTGCAAAAATGTTCTATGTTGGAATATAGATTTATTATAAAAGGGTGAATGGGTGCAAAACTACTTGATGAGGCAAACAGTACAACATATGTTCGTTCCCTTACATAATATAATCATTACAAATCATTCTACAGTAAAAGTAGAGAATGGTATAGAACCATTATTAGCACATTATTAATTTCACTCCTAAGAAACATAAGAACTTCAATTTATTTATTTATCACTGTTGGCATTCAAGCAGAGAGGGTTAATCAATGAAACGTGAATTATTCCAAACGTTTGTCTCTTCACAGCCTGATGTACGCCGTTGACACTGATAGCAACGTCGGTATTTATTACATTGATCAAGTAGGAAAAGACCTCCAGCCCTGAGAAAGTAATGTAGATGTGAAATTGTTAATTGGTGTTTGCTTAACAAATGACTGCTATACTTTTAAAATAATCTGTGTTCTAATTTTTTTATATACCAGAATGTCACTATGTGAACCAAACAAAATTTAATCTCATTTCCATTCTTTGTTAAATTGCAAATAGCCATTAATATAAAAGTTTCACTGGAAGCTTTAAGGGGAGGTTAAAATAAAAATGTTTATACACAAGTTATTAGAACATGAGTACTTTGCCACAAATTACTATTTGACAGGGCCATAACAACAGTTAAAAGAAAATTTTATATAAATTTGAAGAGGATAAATATAAAGGTTACAAGGGAAAGAGCAGGGAATTGTGATATGTGTCCACCAATAGAGGACTATCATAGGCTCAATGGACCAAATAGCCTGCCATATTACAATTTCCATGATTCTGCTCAAGTTCATGGTATTTTTAATAATTGGACAAAGGCATAAGAAACTTACTCAGAATCTGCAAAAAAAGAACAACATTTTGAGAGACTGAGTGTTCCTCGGTTATGCATGTTGGTCCTTCAACATGAAAGCTTCACAACTCCTAAGTAAAGCAGATGCATCCTAAAGGCTTTGAATACTGTTTTAAAGTGAAAGCCACAATACTGTTACTATTGAGTGGGGGATAAGAGTCATATTCATTAAAACAGTAATATTTGCACATTCATCTTACTTTGTGTATTGAGTCTCTTCATAATCTTTCAGTCGCTTCAGGTTTGCACTGTCGCTCCATGCTTCCTCTAAAGCCTTGTGCATTCTGCACAGATTTGCATACTGTCTTCTATGTTCAGCAATCAGGCTGCAGAATTATTGAAAAATGGTTAGTAAAATTCTTGAAGAATTCCTTTAGCTCATATTTGACATTTTCAGTCTAACACAATCCTAATCTTACATAGATAATATATTACTGAAATCCCAACAGGAGATAAGTAATATATTTTACAATAACTTACTGCAATGCGTTTGCAATGGAATCAAAAAGCAGAGTTGTGGGTGGCTGATTCACATGCAGTAAAGAGCAAGGCATTAGCTGCCACAACTAGTAGGTGACAAAATGCCAGGTGGCAAAACACAATAGTTTCCAAATTTGTTGCTTAAATTCACTCATTGTCTTTCAACTGGTACATGAACAGACTTATCTAAGGCAATCCAAAATAGCAAAAGATCAATATCAGAGGATTAAATCCCGACTCACTCTTTCTTATTTCTGTCCAGCATTTCTAACTCCTTCTTCTGCTCATACATCTGATTCAGGATGGCGTTCCTCTTACGTTCAACCACTGCCCCCAGCTGTTGTTTATAGAGCTCATGAGCTTGTTGTCTTTTTTCTAACTCTTTCTCATATGTCATTTCATTCTGACCAAAGATTGGCTCAGCAGAGTCGGGTTCATAGGCTGGCAACTGAAATGCTTTATTTTTAACCTAGATCACAAGAGGCAAAGATTTTATGTTTGTGTAATTCTTCAGTTGTTATATTAACTGTTGACAAATATTTAACGATTTACAAGGTGACAGGCTTTAAGTAAAAATAGTCAGTTTAACAGATCTATATAGAAATTGAATACTTTTATAGGTAAAGGAATAATATAATAATAAAAAATAATCGTTGCATTTGATGCAGACCTTTAAGGTTGAAGTGTCTCAAAAATGCTTTAGGGTAATTATTGATAAGTGTAATGATTATGTATTTGGAGGTAATGGGGCAGCCACTTATGCACAGAAATGTCCCCAAAATAGCCAGGTAGTGAATGACCAATTTATTTTGGATCATTCTATTTACTTCACTACAAGTAATATCAATCAGTTGCTACACTTACCAATATAGTCATCAGTTTGCTTCGGTTGTGCTTATGGTCACCTTCCCCCACCCCCCGGCTTGGCGTCATGCTCTGCCACTGTCAAACATCTGGGACCCTACCCTGCATGAGGGGCGCTATATAAATGCAAGCTGTTGTTGTTGTTCAGTGTGCAGTCGTCCACTTCTCGGTCAAAAGCACACTGGTCAGAACTTGAGTCATAGTCTAGGCGAGGGTGGTCCATCCCAATGATGCACAGGTCATATGCAACTTCACTGTTTTACCTCCCGACTGCGCCTCTCTTCCAGTCACTCTCTGCACTGCCTCGTGCCTTGTACAATCTTGTGAAAAGCAGCACGGTGAGTGATGTGAAGAGAGATGTAGCAGGAGTATTTTAAAAAGGTGTAATTGCATATTTGCGATTCTAAAAGTACAGAACTATGATTCTCAGTAAGAAACAACAACAAATTTATAGAGCGCCTTTCACATCGGGAGGATATCCCAAGGTGCTTGCTAGTCAAGAGTTTGTAAGGTAGATGTGAAAAATAGAGGGCATTGAAGCTCTGGTTCAAGAGAAACGTTTTCCCAGTGTTTTCATTATTTTGTTCATTGTCAGGGTTATTAAATTATGTGCATTTTAATTCAATTAATTATTTCTTTCACTTTCATTGTTTACTCGGGATTTAATGATAATTCTTGCAACATATGTATTTATTGATAAAAGTGTAGTATTGTTTTAAATTTTGTACATTACCTATTTAAAGTTTGCATTGAAGTAAAATATAGTGAAACTAAATAATAGTTACACAATTCGAAACATAGGATTTCTATCTGATTCTGATTGGTTATGTTGCTGGAAGGAAACACAAAAACATTGCTTAAGCGACCAATGGACATTTCTCAAATTCGGCGTTCAGCTCTGGACAGCCAAAAGGTTCTCCCACCCTGGTCTAGGCCAACAGTACAAAACAGTTGTTATACCCCAGGTTGCATACTGTGCTCAACAAATAATAATGCCTAAATATCCAATTTCTTATTAATTTACCTGAGCATCCAGTGCTCTCTTATAGATGTCTGCTTGTTCTTGCTTTTCCTTCAAATACTGTTCTCTCTGGGCAGCAAGACTGTAGAATAAAATTTGTATAATAAGGTTTGTTTACCTTTGGAAAATAGGATAGAGTATGTGCATGAGATCGTCACATGAACTAAAATTTATAGAAATGTAGCAGAAAGATATGTTACAACAAAATACAACAGTTGTATTTAGTGTGAAAACCAATCTGCAGTGGCAGCAAGTATTGTGAGACAACACTACATAATTAGTAATATGAGAGCAGTGATATAACCCTAACCCTAATGTGGCACAATTTCACTGACTTTTTAATGTTTATTTTTCACCCATGTTTTGTGCTACGTGCTTCAAGGCTACCACTGTAGCTGCTTTCAAGTCAAAGCTGGTAGAAGGGGCACAAGAATGACACTAAGTAATTTACTTAACAGGGTTTCTCAAATGGCACCTCCTTTCCAAGCGATATCTTTGATGGAGTTGGTGCTGTAGGTTTTTTGTGGGCTGGTATATGCAGACTGCTGAATTTTAATGGAGTGTAAAGAAATTGAAGGGCACATTGGATTGCCATACACTATAACTATTGGAGAAGCCCTGAGGTACCATCCGCTGAAACAATTAATTTCCAAAGGGTAGAAGCACTTAGTGAACATACTCCTCAGCAAGCTGAACTTGCTCAAGGCGATCCAGGAACTCCTCATCCTGCTTCTTCTTGTTGTCGCTTTCGTTCTTGTCTTCCAATTGTTTCTTCAGACACTGTGAATACTTTTCTTGCCCTAGTAAAATTGGTGGGGTAAAAGGCCTCTTTTGGAAAATATATCCTTTCTAAAAGTAAACAAAGGAACAATATGTTCATGGAATACAGGTAAAAATGTTTTATTTCTTAATGTTGCTTGCATTCTATCTCTGCAACCTAATTTAAATAACCACTCCAACTGCTTGCCAATTCTCAGATGTAAGTCCCTGGCTGATAACAAGACAACTCAGTCTCGACATCCTTTTTCTCACTTGATAAAAACATAACAAAGATTGATCTGCTGCGGGGTTTTCTGAAAATAAAACATTTTCAGAGCCATTTTCAGTTTGGAGGTTGCTGAAAATGCAGTTTAAGCCACAAAGCACCAGTAACACTTTCAAAGGAACACTTCTCATATCCTAATCTCAATTTTGTGAACCTTGACAAATACAAAATTTACAACTTCATCACCATTAAAAAGGCCTCAGAGGTTTAAATCGCTGTATTTTCGGTCACCAGTGAAAATAGTTTTAAACCCTGATAGTTAAAAGCCCAAAGTATCAGTAGCATAAACGCAAATCTTATACCAACTTTAAATTGTTGCACTCTGTTTATCTACTTTACGGAGGTCATAACTATAATCCCACAGATGTCAAAGAAATGCTTACCTAATTCTGGAAGGTTGGCAAGAGACAAAGGCTTGGAAATTCCCAGAGTGTACGTTGTGGTATTGCAGGAGTTTAACAAGCTAAAACCATGTGGGTTCCCAATGAAAGCAATGTCTGGCAAGCTTCCCGCTGCTTGTCCATCTAGGACCATCCTGCTACTCTTTAGGGCTTTGGCCTGCAGGAGCTGAGTAGGAAGAATCCAAACTGCTTCTCCAAGTCCTGCCAATGAGCCAGGCTGGCTGGTCTATCATCAGCATACCCTGGGGAACTGACCAAACTTAAGGCCCCAAATTCTTTCTGGTCTTTGTTCCAAACGTCACTTTGTCTTAAAATATATTTGCATTTCAATGACTGATACTCTAGAAGTAAAGATAGATTATTTACATGATATTCTTTGCATTTTGAATTCTTTTGTCTCTTTATGGCTTCAGCGACTCCCATGTTGAATGCTGAAATCTTTTGGTTGTATTCTCTGCTGGCCAACATTTCACACTGACAGGTAAAACAAAGCACAATTAAATATATTTTTAAAAAAAACCTCCTGATAAATGTTTGCGATACACATTGTTATTTGTGTGCTGAGTGCAAATCAAACCCATTTAACCAATTTTAAATTTATGGTCATATATACTTAAACTGTAATGCTAATATCTGTCGTATTTAATAATAATAATAATCCTTGCATTTGATATAGCGCTTTTCACGTCGGGAGGACGTCCCAAAGCGCTTCACAGAAGACACTGTAAAGTGAATTGACTGTATATTTATGGGCGAACCGGCAGCCAATTGCGCACAGCAATGTCCCACAAACAGTCGTAGATTGAAAATGACCAATTTATTATTGTTTTTGGTTTTGGAGGGATTATTATTAGGCTCTGTGTGGAGTAAGGAAACTTGCCCAAGGTTTCGCTCTGCCTGGAATTGAACTCAGGTCTCTCGCTTGCAAAGCGAGTGCTCTAACCACTGAGCTACAGGACTCCACGAAATATTGTTGTGGCAGCCACCTCACTATATTTCCCCTTCCAACCTGAGCTTGAAGTCAAGTTCACTAATGACATTAAATTGCAGGTTTTCATAAAATAATAATCCTTTCATTTGACTGGAGCACAGCATCATATCTTGTCTGGAGGACATCTCAAAGTGCTTCACAGGATTTATTGTGTAGTGACTGTATTGTGTAGAAGAAAGAGGCGGCCAATCTGCCCATAGAAATATCCCATCATCAACCATGAAGTGAGTGACTAATTTGTGGGTGATTGTTGACTTAGGACATCAGAAGAAATTTCATTTTTTTCAAATAGTGGCATGGGATTTTATTGGAACAGGCAGATGGGACGTCAGTTTAACGTCTTATCCGAAGGATGCCATCTCCATCAATCCAGCGTTCCCATAGCATTGAATAGCACCTGAGTGGTCTGGGTTGACTCACTCTTACTTTCTTTCTAAATCTATAGGGAAATGCCTTCCTTCACTATGTGATTCACCCAGAAATTGTGGCCAAATGTTAAATCAATAGGGAAACACCATGGTTGTAAATCTGCCTTGTGCCTTCTACAGTTCCCTGGCAGAACCAGCCTAACTCCCATTTTCATTACAATAATTATGGTTGCTCTATGACAATAGGAATGCTACCTTCTAAAAAGGACATTAACGCTCTAGTTATTCTGTATACAGAAACTCTTGCAGCATTCATTATACAAGGTTCCATTCTATTGGTGGTTCTCCTATAAATACACAGTCACCACATTTTACAGTAAATTCTGTGAAGCACATTGAGAGGATCTGTAAATATGAAAAAAGTTGTATCCAAAAGCAAGGATTATTATTATTTATATAATCGATGGTTGCTAATCAAACAAATAAATGGCTCCCAAATGCAGGCTGCATAAAGTTGCATTTATCCATTGCTCACTTCTGTTACATACCTGATGCTTGAAGAGAGCATCCTGGTCTTTCATTTGTTGATATTGTTGCAGAATTTGCTCCTCTTCCTCCTGTCTTCTTCTTTTCTCCTCTGACATATCAACAGGAACATTTCTCAGAGCTCGTTGCATACAAAGATAGCATAACTCCTGCATGATCACAGAGCAGATAATAAAGTTACTATCACTTTTGTTTAAGTCTCAGGTGGACATATGATCCAACCAATCCATCCAACTCACCCAAAAGATTCCTTCACCTAACTGCCGTCACTTGAGAGTATTCGGTGCATGTTGGCAAGAGACAAGGCTTGGGGACCCCAGAGGGTATGTTGGGGTACTATTGGAGTTTAACCAGGAAAAACTGGATAGCTTGCCATTGAGAGTACTGATTGGCAAGCTTTCCTGCTGCTTGTCCAGCTAATACCAACCTACCTGGTTTGCATGGTTAAAGGGAGCTGAGTGGGAGAATTCCTGCCCTCAGTACTGGCCTGGCCTTCTGAGTCCTGCCTGTACTGTCATCAGCATTGCCCTGGAGTGCCTTGGACCCACCTGGCTCAGGAACCGGGCTACTAAGACCGCCACAGAGGGCTGCCTCGATTCCGACATTCTGTTGACAAACATGTCACCTTGGAGCCAGATCAGCTCCAAGGAGACCCCAATTATGCCCCCTCCCCAAGGAAGATAGTCCACACTACAGTACCTGTCCAGCCCTGCAGTGATCAGGGCAGCTATTGGCTGGTGTTGTTGGTGTTTTGAGCTTCGAAGAAGATGAGTTTGTGTGCTGAATGCCACACTGAGGAGATGAAAGATGGCTTTGAGGTGGTAACCTGAAGATGCATCAAAACAAGTCAACTACATTCACTTTATTTGAACATGTGAAACAAAGATTTTACAATATTTCAAACCTACTCACTCAAATGATGATCCTACAAAGGGAAAAAAATATTGACAGGGCAATTTATTACCTTTACCTTAGCAGTTTTATTTTATGGCTAACAAAATAACTGTCTCCTATTTAATAGGAATGCCTCCTGAAGACCTCTTTAATACAGATTGTATTGGTTGCAGATTAAGTAGTAATTTGCAGCAGTGTACCTGAATAACCATACCTGAAGATATTTTAGGGCCTACAGCAGCTATGCCATTTTTTGGGGGCTAATTGTAGCTGAAGTTTTGATTCTGTGGGACACTTGCTCTTGTACTTCAGTGAATCAATTTCAGTTCCATAAATGATACAATACAATGCAAAATTACATTTATAAAGCAGCTGTTCCGTCAGGAGGATGTCCCAAGGCACCAAAGTCAGGGATTTGGACCCGAGCAGGAAAGGTTCGGATCAGGGAGGAGGAGGGCAGAGAGGGTGGCCAAAAACATGGTTGAAGAGGAGGGTCTTGAGGCGTGCCTTGAAGGACGCAAGGGAGGGAGCGAGGTGAAGGGAATGTGGGATGGAGTTCCAGAAGGTGGGGGCAGAGAGGCTGAAGGCCCGACCACCGATGGTGGGGGAGACCGGGCAGAGGACATGGAGCAGGCTGGAGCCTGCTGAGTGGAGGGAGCGGACAGGTTGATAAGGGGCCAACAGGTCCGAGAGGTAGGAGGAGGCAAGGGCATGGAGGGCCTTGAAGATAAAGACTAGAATTTTAAACTCCATCCTCTGAGGGATGGGGAGCCAGTGGAGCCAGGTGAGGGTGGATGTGAAGGGGTTACGGAGCCTGGTGCGGGAGAGGACACGAACTACAGAGCTCTGGATGATCTGCAGCTGGTGCAGGAAAGAGTTGGGAAGGCTAGCAAGCAGGGCGTTGGCATAGTGGAGCCTAGTTGTAATGAAGGCACGTATGAAGGCTTCGTCTACCTGAGGAGCGAGGCATTGGCGGAGTCGGACAATGTTGCGAAGGTGGGGCAATGTAGAGTAGGTCATGGCATGGTGTGGGGGAGAAAGAACAGTTGAGCGTCGAACAAGATACTTAGGTTTCTGACTGGCTTGGTGAAGTGGAATGTGCAGCCGTGGGTACTGATGCTGCCACTGCCTTAGGTGTGGAAGCACTGGCTGAGCCAATTATGAGCACCTCAGTCTTGCTGACATTCAACTGTAGAAAGTTAGCTCTCATCCAGAACTTGATGTCTGACAGGCAGTCTCTCAGGACCTGGGGTCGAGGGTGGAGACAGAGAGATAGAGTTGGGTGTCATGTGGAAGTTGACCCCATGCCTGCGGATTATGTCACCAAGAGGTAGCACATACAGGTTGAAGAGGAGAGGACAGAGCCCTAAGGAACAACACACAAGGCAGTGCGGGGCCTGGAGTCATTCGTGGAGACAAATGGGAGAGGGTTTGGGCGGTGTGAGAGATAGGATCTGAGTGAGCGGAGGTGGCTGGTTACCAGGGTGAGTTGCATTAGTAGGAGGTGGTTTGGGAGGTGAGGAGGGCAAGGGCATCGAGAATGATGCAGAGGGAGATATGGAGGAGAGTGATCGAGGAGGATACATTGGTGTGGGAGGTAGGCCAGAGGGGTAGGAGTTCAGACAACTCCAGGGCAGCGAAGAAGGAGTATGGGGAGATTCTTTTCCAGGGGTGGTAGGAGATGGAGGTGGGTTGGGTGGTGGTGGGGAGAGGGATTGACGTGTTTAGGGAGATGAAATGGAGATCTGAAATGTGGGTGGTAGAGTGGATGTGGAGGGAAAGGTTATGAGAGGAAGGGAGAGAGGAGAAGTCGGTGGAGATAGAGCAAGAAGGGGTGAAGTGCAGGTTGAAGTCACCTAGGATAAGATGAAATGGTATTCAGATAAGGAGACATTCAGAACAGAAGCAGAGGGAAGCTAGGAGGGCAGAGATGTCAGAGATGAAGGTGGGAGAGGGTTTGGGGGGATGATAAATCAGGAGAATTTTGAAGGAAAAATTGGAGGGATGGTAGAGGATAAGGTGCTCAAACGAGGGGAATGAGCTGGAGGAGTAGGTGGATAGAGCAAGTGAGCACCTGAAGATGAGATGAATTTAAAGTAAAGAGATGATCCTAACTTTACTGAAGGAAAGGAACTTTGCAAGAGGGCCTAGAGCTAATGTATCTAACAATGAATAACTCACTTCCTCAATCCAACATTTTTTTCACAGACAGTACAAATGTAATTAGAATAATCAATAACTCTTGCATCACTCACTCCTCATGTATCAGCAACACACACATTTGATATTCAGAGAGTTGTTGCTCTTTTCAGTCAGACCTTTTTCCTGTGGTGGGATGGCAAATACTATATCCCCAGAATGAAATGCTGTTGGCAATGGACTATTCAAATGTGGAGCACAGTACCACTGACTGATGGCTAATGCAGCCCTGTTAACAAGAGTAATACACATTGTTTAATACCATCCCACTTGCATCAGCACTCTCTATACAATAATTTGCTGCTGTTGAATGAGATAAACTTTGTTGCCACAGATCGTTCTGGAAAATGTTAAATCAAATATCTAAATTTACTTCTTGAATAGCCAACCTAAAGGATGATTTCACTTAAATTCAACTTGAATTAATTTTCTTGATTTCACAAAAGGAAAAATAGTCTTCAATTCTGAATAGTATTCCTATTCTCAAACACCTGCTATCACAGCAGCAATATTTGGTGGCACAAACCATTGTTTGTTCTGACAGACCCTATTCAACAGTCCTCAGAGTGGATCCTACAGCTGATTAAATATTCTGGTTGGACCAATTTTTCTCATCACAATCCTGGATATTTTTATATCAATATACTGTAACATCTGAAAACTTACCTGTACATAATTCCACTGATCTCAAGACCCCAAAAGACAGCAATGCAGGTAGATTCTACTGGTGCCACTTGTGTTCTAGGTTTCTGTGATAGGCACACTGCTTTGAGTTTCACTTACCCATCCCATTGTAATACCACCATTTAACACTGTCTCTATTACAACATCAAAGTGTTTTGTTTCAGAACTTATTTGTTTTCCTTTCTGAGACCATAGTTACTGTTGAACAAAGCTCAGGACTGGAAAGCGCTTGAAACATTTAGCGTCATTAGTTCTTATTACCCCAGTCTTGATAAAGAATTAATAAACCACATAAAATATTTACCCTGAAAAGACTGACGTCTTTAAAAGAAAAGTAAAGCAATTTAAATCTTCTGCTATGTCTATAACCAAAACAAAAAAATGTCAAAATACTAATCCAGCATTTCCTCTGTGATTATATGATATTTCTCTCATTTCAGCAAGATTTGGGTTATTCCAATAGAAATTTTCATCCATACCTAATTTTAATTTTCACATTCTGCATTCTTGGACTTTTTTTAAAAAAGGTATAAGCATTAATTGATTATCCCACATTTTACAGCAATTTTCTATTAAACACTTTGAGCTATTTTGATGTTACAGGAGCTATACCAATGCATAGATTATTATTATAACTTAAAACAAGGTGATTTATGTAACCATCTTCCTGTCCACATCAATAGTGCAAATAAACGTTTTTGCAGGTGAAGAAGAAGCTGCTGCAAGAAATAGATGAGCTAAAAGGAAAACAAATCCCCCTAAGATTTCATCCCACCCAGGAATTATATATATACATTTATATATATATATCTCAACCAAAATGAACAAGTATGATTAAAATAATAATAAACCTTGCATTTGATAGAGCATCTAAAACATCAAATATATCAAGTGCTTCACAAAACTTCAAAAAAGTGTAGTAAGAGTATTTTATTCAACAATCACAGAAGCCAATTTGTCACAGCAATAACCCACAAACAGCCATGAAAGGAATTACGAATTTTATCTGGGAGATTGTTGGCCAGGACAGCAGGAGAAACTTGTTTCATTCTGAATAATCAGTGAATTAATTTCATCATGGAATATGTGCATCTAAACACATCTGCATGTCTGTTACCTTTCTGATGGTGCTTTAGGGTCATCAGACTTCTCAAACTCCTCTGTCAGACTTATAGCAGAGGCTATAGCAGGAGTCATGGATTTTCTAAGTGGTGTTTGCTTGGCATGGGAGGCTTCTGCTAACATAAAAACAGAGTCAACATTACCAATTTGTCTTCATAGACTGAAGAGAAAGTGTAACTTACAATCCCACTGTTACGATATCTATTGGTCAAAGTCATATACCTAGGCTGTCAATGAGATTCTTTGTTCTGTTGGTTTAATTTTCTTTGATCAGATTTGTCCCTTTTACCTGCTTCTTTTAATTATGAGGAGGTCAAATGTCAATACAAGATTTCACTGGCTGACAAAACAGTTTTCAAACAATATTTCATTCATAATCGGATTTTAATTTGGAGGTTCCTGGATAGGCCTTCCTCGGATTGTGTAAATTGTGAAAGGAAACTGGGCTTGTTACAACACTATATTTTGGGTCCATTCACTTATTGGTCACAAAATAAGTGAAGCCCAAAGAAATTGGTAACTTATGAGTTGTCAGGTCACTCTGATATCACTTCCTCTGTGTTGAACCAGAATCTCCACTGATGTCACTTTCTTTGTAAACTTAAGTCAGTGTGCATGGGTACAATGTGGAGGAATTGATGTCAGCCACAACCTGATAACCATGTTTTTAACAAAGGAAGCTAAGCTTCCAGTCAGTGTAAGTCGATAGGATACCAGCAAGCACAGCAGTAGAAGACAATAATAACAATTCGTCAAATGTAAATTTAGAACACATAGCTAGATAAAAAGAATTAATTTGAGAATTATCTTTGAATCAAGACAATAGTGAACAATTAATTTCTATATAGAAGTTTGCTTTATCGTTTGATAACGGTCGAAGACTGCTGTATTATAAAATTTGGGGAGGTACAGAATGTAAAAAAAAAGGTGGCTTCTGATTACTCTATATTTTATTCCTAATCAAATAACATTGTTATCATCAGTTGTGGTATTATTATTGCCCATCATACCTGTTTCTTTATTTTTCTCTTCTTTTAATTTCTCGGTTTGTTCATTTTCTCTGGTTGTCTCATTGTGTTGTGCTTTGTACATACCCTCATTGTTTTCTCTATCTTCCTCATTAATTGTTTCCATCGATAATTTTTGATCATTTACTTCATTGGACTGAATGCTGCAGCCAAGCAAAAATTATGAACATAAGTAAATCTACATAAAGAGTTGAAGGAAAACACCCAACCTACACTTACTATTAGGGAAGCCTGATAAATACATTATATATATTTAATGTTTCAGTACAAAATAAGTTCACTGTTGGTTGTCACAGAGGATTACCATCGTCCTTTCATCTCTGAGTTTCATCTCTAGGCTAAAATGTATCCCAAACTAAAGAGCTAGAAGTCTGATTTCTCTCCTGATCGCAAGGTTTAGATAGCAAATGATTTTATGGAGTCTCGACCCAGTTCCTAATGGCTATGGGTATAAATCACAAAACTATTCTGATAAGGTACTAAGGCAGAAAGATCTGCATCAGGTCTCCAGCCACAACATTCATTGCCCATCAGTGCATCACCATGTCAATTTATCCACTAATTTAACTATACAAGTGGTGAACACGACTGCACTACGGTAGTATCCATCATGTATTTTAACATTATGAGCTTATTCAGAGAGTACATAACTAACTCAGTTTGAAGTAGTTGATATTGGACTAACAGTCCGAGGCAGAGGGTAGTGGATTAACTCAGTCTGAGGTAGGAGATACTGGACTAACTCACAAAATTAGTTTGGAGTTAGGTCTCATCCCTCCAGAATCCTACAGTCCTGCAATTGTAGCATCAAACTGACTTTTAAATCAGTCTAATGTCTTGGCCTCAACCACCCTTCCTGATAAATTGTTCCAATGAATTATCTTTTGAATAAAGCAATACTTCCTGGTGTCTGTTATGAGATTGCCCTTTGCAACCCTAAACCTGTACCTCAACATTGTTCTGCTTCTATGCCACATCTAAAATCATTGTCCCATTTACTTTTCCAATCCCATTTATAATATTTTATACCTCTATAAGGTCTCCTATAAGATGTCTCTTTTGAAAATTGAAGAGTTCTAGCTTGTTTAATGCTCGGAATTGATTCCAGAAACACTGGGGATCATTGCCATTGCTCTCTGCACTAGCTCTAAGGCCCAGACAGCCTCGTCATATTGACCATAAGGAGTGACCAGAACTGTACACTGCACAAGATGTGGTCTGACCGGAGCACTGTTCAGCTTGTGCATAATGTCTGGAGGATTGGATTCAAATGGTTTGGCAATAGAGACCAGCATTCTGTTTTCCCTGTTTATTGCTTCCTCACACTGTTTTTACATGGTGAGCAAAGAATCAACAAATACCCTTGGATTTCTTTCAAATCCCCCCTTCTCTTTTGGCTTCCATCTAACTCATCTGAGTTACTGAATGCTAACTAGCCTATTACAATCCGAAATCTGAGTAAGGACAATATTTCATGAGTGCACCCAGAGAGACAGCTTTCCATAATCGTAAATGGCAACTGAATTCAATTGGGCCTGAAGATTTCCATGGGCCTAGTTGATGTTTCTAAGCAAATAGATAGATATCTGTCATCGTATCAGATTCGGTTATGCAAGAATCCCTTGAATAAGATCAGATAAGCCAGTTTTCACCACCCAAAAATGATCCTCCCGTTATTATAAGATTTTCCAGGATTTTTCAGCTGGGTTTGACACTAGCATTATTTAGCATGCATGAAAAATGAACATCTTTAAGAACACTTCAATTTTAATGCCAGTTTTCAAACAATGAAATTCAAACAACAATTTCCATATAAATTATTGCAGTGTTATTTACCTCCGTAAGATTCATATATACAACACACTAATGTACAATTTTAATCAAAACTCTATTTCTAAACATCACATGCTTTACAGATATAAACTGCTAGTATCTTTCACATCTTCACACTTGTGATAATTTATTTTTAGATTAGCGCTCATGTAGAAATAACTACTATTAGATTAGTGCTTATTTTAGATTGAAATTAGCTCATTTTAGCTCTTACCAGGGAAATACAACAGTGTTGGGTGTAGCACGAAATTCACTCGAATCTTTCATTGATATTACAGAGTCTTCTGTCACGGGTCGCTATTGAGAGAGACAACACCAATACTCATTAGTTAGGAATCAAGAAATAGATACAAACTCATTTTTATACAACTGACAAGCAATATGTGAATTGTTTCATTCATTGATTCATTTCTGAACAGAACAAATGCAATACTTTTTTAAAAATTATTTCAACTTGGGAAAATCTGGAATAGGAAGTTTTATAGGCAATTCGATGCCAGGCCAAAAATAATTGATCAATTGCCACAAACAAAGGCCCAAAGAAATCAATATAATAAAAGTATAGTTCTTGTGTAATTTAGGTGGGAACACATAATTAAGCCACTAGCAATAATCCCATTCAGGCTTCTTTACAGTATCTAGACACCACCATTCAAATGACACCAGAGCCACCATCTGGTATATGCTTGAAAGGCAGTAAATTGAAGCCAAGTCTCAAGCATAAATATAGATTACAGATGCATTACATAGAGATTCTGGTGGAAGTCAGGAAACAATGAAAATTTCATGAGACATCCATCCTGGAGTCCCTCTGACTCTCTCTAAAGCTTTCAGTCATCTTTTTTCTGCCCATCCCCATCAGCTCCCACCCCAGCTCGGGTTTCCACAACTGTGTCATGCAACAAAAAGCAACAAATTGCATTTATATAACGTCCTTCACACACTAGGAGGCCATCCCAAGAAGCTGGACAATCAAGGGTTTACACCGTATTGAGGTTAGATTACAGAGGGGTGGGAGCAAAGGGGGCAGGATTACGGGGTGGAAGATGACTGAAAGTAACATCAAAGAGTAAAGTCTTCAGATAGTGCTTGAAGGAGGTGAGGGAAGGGGCGAGTCGAAGGGATGCCGGAAGGATGATTTCACGTGTCCTCCCAACATGAAAAGGGCTATATAAATGTAAATTGTATTGTATTCAGAATATACATGTAGAGCTCATTGGAGACTTAGCCTGTAAAAACAATGCGAATAGCATGGACCTGAGAGCCCAAGAAACCCGAGTATGATTAATGACCACACTGGTATAGGTTAGATAATCTTTTTCAAAAACAGAAGTTGCTGAGAACACTCAGCAGGTCAGGCAGCATCTATAGAGAAAGGAAAGTGAGTCAACGCTTCATGTCCATGATCCGAAACATTGACTCACTTTCCTTTCTCCATAGATGCTGCCTGACCTGCTGAGTGTTCCCAGCAGCTTCTGTTTTTGTTTCAGATTTCCAGCATCTGCAGTATTTTGCGTTTTGTTTCAGATAATCGTTTTGATGCTTCAAGGTTTGTGAAAACTTAGAAAAGGAAAGCTTTCCCCAAACCCAACTCACCACCAGATTACAACAACTTGCATTTATATAGTGCCTTTCACGCTCAGTAGCAATTCAAAGTGTCAGATTAATGACTATTAATGATTATCCTTGGAGCAGGATACAAATGGGATCTCCTTGGAGCTGACCTGGAAATAATACTGTAGTTTACCGCCTACTATGACTACAATCCCAACCTGATATAGTGAAGTGTGGAAATGGGTTTTGCTGTACATATACACATGAGCCAGCTGATTAATTTCTTGTGGGCTAGCCAATTCTCGTGCTAAAAGAAAAAATGGCCGACTTCCACTGCCAATGTTATCCTGGTTTCTGTGCATTCACAATGACCATGAGGAACCAGAAGTTAATCTTTTTAGGAAGTTAAAATGACGCATTCCAAATCATTAAACACTTCCAACATCAACTTCCTGCTTTGCACACACAGGAAAGCAGGATGTGATATGGGATGCAACCTAAATGACCAGAAGCTGACTTTTTATGAGAAGGCTGCAGTAAACAGGAATTATTTGGAAATCCAGAGATATTTATTGAAGGGATCCACAGTGTAACCATGTTATATTTGAACTATGATGGAGTGTGTTATAATGGGGCTGAACTGTAGCATTTATGTATAGTCTGCCTTATTTGAGTTGCTTTTCTTATGAGACGAGGGAAGGAAAACATTAAAAAATCACAGGAAGTGGTCTGAAACTTAGACAATATACTAGTGGTAGATTCAGTAACTAGACGACAGGTATGATTGTTACAAGGAGAGTTTAGGAGATTTTTTTCACACAGATAGTTGTTAGGACATAAAATGCTAAATAAGATGGTAGAAGTAGAGAGCATTGAGTGAAGTAGACAGGTATGTGAATGAAAATGGTACGAAGGGTATCGTGATATGGCAGGGTAGTGGGATTCAATAAACACCTTGTTCTGAGAGCCAATGTCCTGTAAATTTCAATGATTCTTGTTCAACCCCAACTGAAGTTCAAACCAACATAATAATAATAATCCTTACATTTGATATAACACCTTATCCCGTCTTTGAGACGTCTGAAAGCGTCTCACAGAATATACTGTAAAGTAAATTGACTGTATATTTCGTGGGCGAAATGTGGCAGCCAATTGCATACAGCAGCTGTTAGTTGTACTTACATTTGAAAGAGCTTTCACTAAGTACCCACTCCCATCCATGGCATTAAGAAAGTCTTTGTAAAATTTCATTTTGACCTTGTTATTACGTATAGTTAGCACACCAATATCCTTGAATATGAATTCCACATTGCGTTTCAATGAGATGTAACGGTACATGATTTGCAGGGTCTCTTTAACACACCCTTCAACCGTATCTCGATCAAAAGGGCTCTCCAGAGATATAGCAGTAAAATTCAGTGGAACAATAGGTATGTCATCTAGATTAAAAAAGAGAAAACATGATGAAAATTAGCAAACAAGAAATCATAAATAATATGTAAGGGACTTTGGTATAATGTGGTCTTCTGGGTCCAATAGCTCAAAGGCCACACTGCAAGGAAATCACAACTTCCAGGTCACATTCGGCATGCTGGGCATGCTGGCCAGGCGGGGCGTGCTGACAAGGCATGCGTGCTGGCCATTTGGGGCGTGCTGACAAGGTAGGGCTTACTGACCATGTGGGGCATGCTGGCCATGTGGGGCATGCTGGCCAGGTGGGGCGTGCTGGCCAGGTGGGACGTGCTGGCCAGGCAGGGCGTGCTGGCCATGTGGGGCGTGCTGGCCATGTGGGGCATGCTGGCCAGGTGGGGAATGCTGGTCAGATGGGACGTGCTGGCCAGGCAGGGCGTGCTGGCCATTTGGGGCGTGCTGGCCATGTGGGGCGTGCTGGCCATGTGGGGCGTGCTGGCCAGGCAGGGCGTGCTGGCCATGTGGGGCGTGCTGGCCATGTGGAGCGTGGTTGTCATGCAGGGCGTGCTGGCCAGGCGGGGCGTGCTGGCCAGGCGGGGCGTGCTGGCCATGTGGGGCGTGCTGGCCATGTAGGGCGTGCTGGCCAGGCGGGGCGTGCTGGCTATGTGGGGCGTGCTGGCTATGCGAGGCCTGCTGGGCAGGCGGGGGCATGCTGGCCAGGCGGGGCATGCTGGCCATGCAGGGGGTGCTGGCCATGCAGGGCGTGCTGGCCATGTGGGGAGTGCTGCCGAGGCAGGGCGTGCTGGCCAGGCAGGGGGTGCTGGCCCTGTGGGGCATGCTGGCCATGTGGGGCGTGCTGGCCAGGCAGGGCGTGCTGGCAGGCGGGGCGTGCTGGCCATGTGTGGTGTGCTGGCTATGTGGGGCGTGCTGGCTATGCGAGGCCTGCTGGGCAGGCGGGGGCATGCTGGCCAGGCGGGGCATGCTGTCCATGCAGGGGGTGCTGGCCCTGTGGGGCATGCTGGCCATGTGGGGTGTGCTGGCCATGCGGGGCATGTTGGCCATGTGGGGCGTGTTGGCCATGTGGGGCGTGCTGGCCATATGGGACGTGCTGTCCAGGCGAGGCGTGCTGGCCATGTGGGGCGTGCTGGCAGGCAGGGTGTGCTGGCCAGGTGGGACGTGCTGGTGTGTGGGGCATGCTGGCTATGCTCGACGTGCTGGCCAGGCAGGGCGTGTTGGCCAGGCAGGGTGTGGTGGCCATGCGGTGCGTGCTGGCCATGTTAAGCATGCTGGCCAGGCGGGGCGTGCTGGCCAGGCGGGGCGTGCTGGCCAGGCGGGGCGAGCTGGCCGGGCGGGGCGTGCTGGCCGGGCGGGACGTGCTGGCCGGGCGGGGCGTGCTGGCCGGGCGGGGCGAGCTGGCCGGGCGGGGCTTGCTGGCTATGCGGGGCATGCTTGACAGGCGGGGCGTGCTGGACAGGCGGGGCGTGGTGGCCTGGCGGGGCGTGCTGGCCAGGCAGGGTGTGCTGGCCAGGTAGGGCATGCTAGCCAGGCAGTGCGTGCGTGCTGGCCAGGCGGGGCGTGCTTGCCAGGCAGAGCTAGCTGGCCGGGCGGGGCGTGCTGGCCGGGCGAGGCGTGCTGGCCGGGCGGGGCCTGCCGGCCGGGCGGGGCCTGCCGGCCGGGCGGGGCCTGCCGGCCGGGCGAGGCCTGCCGGCCGGGCGGGGCCTGCCGGCCGGGCGGGGCCTGCCGGCCGGGCGGGGCCTGTCGGCCGGGCGGGGCCTGCCGGGCGGGCAGAGCCCGCCGGCCGGGCGGGGCCTGCCGGCCGGGCGGGGCCTGCCGGCCGGGCGGGGCCTGCCGGCCGGGGCGAGCCGGCCAGGCAGGGCCTGCCGGCCGGGCCTGCCGGCCGGGCGGGGCCTGCCGGCCGGGCCTGCCGGCCGGGCGGGGCCTGCCGGCCGGGCCGGGGCCTGCCGGCCGGGCGGGGCCTGCCGGCCGGGCGGGGCCTGCCGGCCGGGCGGGGCCTGCCGGCCGGGCGGGGCCTGCAGGCCGGGCGGGGCCTGCTGGCCGGGCGGGGCCTGCTGGCCGGACGGGGCCTGCTGGCCGGGCTGGCCGGGCGGGGCGTGCTGGCCGGGCGGGGCGTGCAGGCCGGGCGGGGCGTGCTGGCCGGGCGGGGCGTGCTGGCCGGGCGGGGCGTGCAGGCCAGGCGGGGCGTGCTGGCCGGGCTGGCTGGGCGGGGCCTGCTGGCCGGGCAGGGCGAGCTGGCCGGGCTGGGCGTGCTGGCCGGGCTGGCCGGGCGGGGCGGGCTGGCCGGGCGGGGCGTGCTGGCCGGGCGAGGCGTGTAGGCCGGGCGGGGCGAGCTGGCCGGGCTGGCCGGGCGGGGCGTGCTGGCCAGGCTTCCTTTGTAAAATGCAGACAGCAGCGTTTCCTCTGATTAGAGTGCACGGGCAGCATGCAGAAAGTGGCAGCTATGATTCTTCCTGCATATAATAATAATCATCCTTGCATTTGATATTGTGAGTTATCACGTCTTCGAGAGGTTTCAAATCGCTTCACAGAATATACTGTAAAGCGAATTGACTGTATATTTTGTGGGCGAAACGCAGCAGCCAATTCTGCATAGCAGTGTCCCACAAACAGTTGTAGATTGAGTGACCAATTTATTATTATTTTTTGGAAGGAAGTATTACCCCTGCAAAAGCGATCCGCCAATCGACTAACAACCAAGTTCCTATTTACTGCTAGGTAAACAGAGCATGTGGAGTAAGGAAACCTGCCCAACATTTCGCCCTGCTGGGAATCAAACCCAGGTCTCTCGCTCGTGAGGCGAGTGCTCTAACCACTGAGCTGCAGAACTCCACAAAATAGTATGCAATGTGAAGAAGTGATATCAGCAGCAACTCGACAAACCAAAAGTAAAATATTTTTAATGCAGAAAGCTGGCTCATAAGTAATGAAAGCCAGGTGTACCACGTTTCTGCTTAGTGCAAGTCAACAGGATATTGAGTACTGGAAGAAAGGCGTGTTATCCCAAGCCGCGGAGGAGGGAGGGTATAATGGGGATCCCCTGAATTTCTTTAATGTCCTGGCTTTTTTTGATTCAAATCAAACCACTTGTAGGTAACTATTGTGAATACCAGCTGTTAGCCTAATAATAGATGAATATAATTATTTTCTCAGTGAGATTTACTCTTGCTCATTAACAATGAAAACTGTAGCACATATTACATATTGTATTTTATAGTGGATGTTATGATGGGTTACTTATAAATGCTATTTGTTCTGCCCCCTGATATGATGATGATAAATGCACCATATCGTAAGGCCCCTAGACATGCAATCCAGAAACGTTTCAGGTTAATCCATGCTGTTTGCTAAATTACCTCATCTCAGCTGGGTGGCATTACTGATGAGGTAATACTCAGGTACAAATGGCCTCATTATCTAAGGGCTAGGGAGAGGAGCAGGTTAGGTCAAGATTCCTTTTCTGATGGTTTTACATCAATCTTTACAGAAAGTGCATGGGTGGGGGCACGATTCAATTTGGCTGCCCTACCTCAAACAAATACTCATTTTAGTTTTGCAAAGTTAACTGATGGTCCCACTGAAATTAGTGCATGTATAAAAATGAAAATATAATATGGTAAATGACTCTGTATAATACACAATACAGTGTATAAAAACTGTAATAACCACAAATAATTCAATCGGTTTCACGAAGTAACAAAAACGTGCATTTTTATAGTGCCCTTCATGCAGGGTAGCACCTTGAAGAGTAAAATATCCAGCTAAAGGAAACCTCATTGCAAAAGTAAATTTGAGCGTTGTGTACTATTATCCGCACATATTAATAAAATGTTTTCACTTGGATCTTTTTAATAAAAACTGAATTTGCAACGCTGGCTATTGACATATATATTTCTGTGATCACTCCACTTGTGTAATGTCCTGCAAGACATTTCAAAAACATTGCCACCTGTTTCAAGTCGTATTCCTTAGTCACTATTTTACACATAAATATTTGAGCAATAGACATTTTCTTGAAGGATCTGATTGATGTAATAAGATCCCTTGTTACCAGATACATGTTGTTTTGTGTATGTTAATCCATGGTCCTGCACATTTTTCTCAGACATCAGAAATACTGGCCTCTGCATTAGGATCTGTTTGTGTCCCATATCCAACTTTTGCTGTGAGAAAGTAAAAGTCCCAAGGTTTGGTATATGAACTCCCTGAAAAATAGAATAATTTACTCAACTAATAAACTAGCTATCTGTTCCTGACTATTAACAATATAGTTGGTCATTATTGTATGTTTAACGCATAAATAAATAAAAATTTAGTATAAGGATATTTTATGTATAATCTTATCAGATTAAATATTTGTTATACAGTACAATATAAAATACTAGTGTGTTTATGTGTTCTGTGCATTTAAGCTATGAATTCATAAATATTTACGGTAGTCAAGCAAAGTACTATTTCTTCATCTGAAGAAAAAACGATCGACAGTATTAGTTACATCATGTTTTTCTACTTTGAAGCTTTTGATTCCTTCTGAACATGTCACTTCTAACAGGAGAAACGCATTTTATTCCATTCTGGCGTTTTGTTTACTTTGTGACTGGTTTGTCCATTGAGTGAGTGTGTGATCTCTGGGAAATGGTAAACTCTTTACCTTCTGGAGGGACATCTGACGATCCGTAAAACCTGCGACATTTGCCCATACATTCACAACATCTGGGGGTGGAGGGGGGGGAGAAGAGAACAGGAAAAGTAAATATTAAAAGTACAATAAATACACACTTGAAGCAGCTGTGGTTTCGTCGATCACTTTATGGCTGTGTGGGTGAGATATTCCTGTGTGCACACACTGACTGCGGTGGAGGGATAAAAACAAATCACAACTCAGGGCAGTGCCTCCCTACCGTCAGCTGAAAGTTTGGGAAGAGTTGGGAACAAGTTTTCACCGACTTCCAGGACCGCGGACTGTATGGTCTCCAGCATGGCGACCGGGCTCGCAAATGAAAAGAAAAAGAAAAAAAAAAGAAAGGTGGGGTGACAGGAGCGATGTGAACAGCCGTGTGGGGCCGTGTGGTGGGGGGAGCGGCCTCTCTTTGCTGTCAGGGGGGGACCTCAGCTGCCGGGATCCGCTCCGACATGAAGCCGCTCCCGTCGCCTTCTCCGCGGGGACTGAGCCGTTGCTAAGGACGCGCTGAGTGACCTTTCACCCCGGCGCCCCACCCTTGTGTGACGTCACCTGGTGGGGTGGGGTGGGGGGGGGGTCTCAGAGTGAGAGCCTTGAGTGAGTGAGAGGGGTGTTGCTGACCCACAGCTTATTGCTCCGACTGAGGGCTGCGAGTTAGGGGCTGCGACGCAGACCACGAGAATAGTTGCCACCGTTTTTAGGTGGCGCTTTGCATTCCATATAGCGCCTCGTCACGTCTGCCGGTCGGCTCAAACCGCTCCGCGCACTGTAAAGTGACTTGTCCCTTTTGTGGGCGCAACGTGGCGGCCAATTGCGCACAGTGGTGGCCCCACAAAAACGGTCGTGGATGGAGTGACCCAATTTTTTTTTTCCGGGGGATTGTTACTCTCGGAAAAGTTGTCCCCCAATCGACTTGACGACCCGGGTTCTTACTTGCTACCAGGTAAACAGAGGCACCGTGGACTACGGAAATTTGCCTCGCGTTGCGCCCTTCCCGGGAATCGAACCCAGGTCCTCTCGCTTGCAAAGCGAGTGCTCTAATCACTGAACTACAGAATTCCAGAATTCCAGAATTCAATTATTGAAAAAAAAACGAAGTAGTTTTCAGGAGTTTTGTCCCTAAATGAAAACAAAATAGGAACTGCAAATTTAATTAGAAATCATGGGTTTACAAACTCTGCTGGTGGACTTCATGCAATCTAATTTAAGTTAGGCTACCATCTAAAAATAATAAACGTGGCCTTCATTTTGTTCTTGACAATCACTGTATGGGATTATATCATTTTCATTAAATACATAATTTAGAGTACCTGTTGTTTCCTCTGGAAACATGTTTGGAAATGCTTAATGAAAGCTGCAAAATTTTCACTTAAATTATTAACTCAACCCAGAAATCAGATCGTATTGTGAATTTCCTATTTTTTGTTTCAGATTACTGAGCATCTGCAATATATTTGTTTCTGAACAGTTTGAAATTTAATTTAGAACATTTTCCACAAGATGGCACTATAACAGTTCATTAACAACTTTTGTTACCATTTTGAAAATAGAAAGTAATCGAAAATAACTCCTTATTTGCTTGTGTGACAATCTGTATCTAGGGCAATCACTAAGAATAACGTCCCAGGGGCACTCTGCAATGGTGGAGCGAACATAAAACAACAACTTAGATTTATATAGCGCCCTCCACGCCGGACGGCGTCTCAGAGTATTTCACAGTAACGGATCCTGGGCTGAGCCAGGGGGAGGGGGAGGAAGGTGACCAAAGGCGCGGTCAAAAAGAAAGGTCTTCAACTGAGACCTGAAAATAGGAAGAGGGGCGAGGCGAAGGGAGTTCCAGAGCCTCGGGGCATAGTGGCCGAAGGCACGGCCGCCAATGGTGGAGCGGAGGATTCGGGAGACAAGGAGAAGGCCAGACCGGGCACTGTTGCGAGAGAGATCAGAGAGGTAGGGGGGTGCAGAGGAGTGGAGGGATTTGAAAACAAGAGTATTTAAAAACAGAAATTGGAGGCAAATGAGCCCATTGAATCTGGTTCATCAGTTTATTAGATTTTAGCAGACCTTTCAGTCCCCATACCCAATCCTATACTCTTTTTATCGCTACTAACTAAGTATCTGCTATTTCTCTTTTAAACACCACTTCACATAAAGATACTACTACATAGAGTACTGGTAAACATTGTTCTTTAATAATAATAATAATCCTTGCATTTGACATAGTGCGTTATCACATGTTCGAGACGTCTCAAAGTGCTTCACAGCACATACTGTAAAGCGAATTGACTGTATATTTTGTGGGTGAAACGCGGCAGCCAATTGTGCACAGCACAGGATTGATAGGTCACTTCAATCCATTACTGTCCCACAAACAGTCATGGATTGAAGTGACCAATTTTTTTTCTTTTGAAGGAATTATTACCTACGGAAAAGCGATCCGCCAATCAACTATCAACTGGGTTCCTACTTACTGCTAGGTAAACAGAGATAAATCTATAAATGGTAGTTCAGTGATATAAAGCTACAGTATTAATCTATGTTATTTACATTAAAAGACCAGGTTAGGCACAAGATTTTTAGGTATTTATGTAGAGAAACGTGATGCTTCCTAAACTGCTAGAACAATGAAAAATGTCAAAAACACAGAAAACTGGTCACAGGTGAACAATAAAGATAATGCTAAGTAGATGTTCTAGGATATCACTGAATTACCTTGGGGCCAGAGAGAATCTTTTCTCCAGAGATTAAACTGGATTGAGTGGACTCCAAGATAGAAAACATTATACAGTACATTGCAAATGGAAGTTAAAGGCCACTGACCTTTTCTTATCCAATGTTTTCTAATGCTCTTATTTAAACCCAAACTATATTTATTAGTAACTTTTTGTTTTGTTGTGATTTAAACTTGCCATGTTTCACACTGAACCTTTCATTACCCCTAATATAATAATGACTATGGCAACATGAAGAACCCTTACAGTTAAACATCTTGATTGTGATTTTCAGTCCAGTTCAAATATGACTTGGAATGCACTGACTATTTGTAAAGGCTATCAATCAAAATCATTAGAATGATCCTTTCATGACTGAGAGTGCTGTTAAGTGTAACATACCATTGTTTGGCCCTGGTCGTCATTCCTGTCATCACCATATAACTGACAAAGCCTCCATTGATGAGCAAGCACACATTTTCACAAAGGAGAAATCCCAAAGGTAATTCAGTGAAACCCCAGAACTTTTATGTAGCATTATCTTTATTGTTCCCTAAGTACAAGTGTTTCTTTATTTGAAAAAGTGAAACCTGAAACTGCAAATTATGTATCAGATAGCCTAATAACTCTTGTGGGAGGTGGAGATTGAGATTATTACACAAATGCCATCAGTATTATAATAGAGCCTACTGAAAACTTTATAGTATTATGCTAGTTTGCAGGAATGCAAGATGTAATGCTGTATTACTAGATGTATTACTATACATATATCTGGATGGAGTGAATGTGATACAAGTTATCTCACTTGAATATGTGTATTCATATTTGTCTATAATTTGTTTGGTGTGTTAGTGTGTATACAGCATTCATCCATTAGGATCAGAACTTGCTCATAAATTCAAGATGTAATCCTGCACCATCCAATCTCTAACCCAAACAGAGATTAATAAACCTGCAAATATTCCCATCTCCAAAACACAGGAAGCAGTTCAGGATTAGCATCAGTGTAAACGTTTAGAGACCATCAATGTTTGTAACCAGATTAGTATGTATTCCACTAAATTTAGAAACTTAATGAAAGGCAAGATTTGTTCATCCATTAACAGACAGTCCATAAAAGTTGCTAAAGCTGCAAGATATGCATTATCAGCAATGTCTTGACAATTATAGATCTAGAAACTTTTTTGCGAGATAGAAATATTTATAAAGCCCTGTAATAAATCCATTTAGCTCTGGGTTCTTCAGTCTGACAACTTCCAAATAGTTTGCATTATTGCCCCATAGTATAATAATAATAATAATCCTTGCATTTGATATAGCGCTTTTCATGTCGGAAGTCCCAAAGCGCTTCACAGAACACACTGTAAAGTGAATTGACTGTATATTTGTGGCGAACGCGGCAGCCAATTGCGCACAGCAATGTCCCACAAACAGTCGTGGATTGAAAATGACCAATTTTTTTTTTTTGGTTTTGGAGGGATTATTATTAGGCTCTGTGTGGCGTAAGGAAACTTGCCCAAGGTTTCGCCCTGCCTGGAATTTAACTCAGGTCTCTCGCTTGCAAAGCGAGTGCTCTAACCACTGAGCTACAGAACTCCACAAGTATAATGCAATCTAGTGCAATTTGGGGGATATCAACCCTGTGAACCCCAAAAAACTATGTGGAAATGTTTTCTCTACTGAAACAATGAGGATCACCTGTACAATCTTTAGGGAAATGCTGTAGATCACAGGAGGAAAACGTTGAGGCATTCATCAGGTAATATTTAAAAAGACAAAAACAGAATAGGCATTCGTATTTTCCCAGTTGATAGGCAGCCTATGAATGTACTGAATGTCAGAATTGAGCCGGCCCTCTGTGGTTTGAGCCAGGCGGGTCCGCAGTATTCCAGGGCACTGCTGATGAACAGGGTGGTAGGGGGTTAAGAGGTTGGGAGATGTAGGGGTGAGCAAGACCATGAGGGCTTTGAAGGTGAGGACCAGGATCTTGAACTGTATCCTCTGTGATAGGAAGCCAGTGGAGTTGGGCAAGGATGGGGTGACAGGGTTGCAGAGCCTAGTGCGGGACAGGACACGGGCTGCAGAGTTCTGGATGATCTGCAGGTTGTGGAGGGAGGAGTTGGGGAGGCCGACAAGCAGTGTGTTTGCAAAGTCAAGCCTCGATGCAATGAAGGCGTGTCTGAGGGTTTCGGCGGCCTGCGGTGTGAGTGTCGGAGCCGGGCAACGTTGCGGAGGTGGGGCAAGGCAGAGCAGGTCATGGTGCAGGTGTGGGGTAGAAAGGATAGTCGAGGGTCAAAAAAGACCCCAGGTTCCGGACTGGCTTAGCAAGGTGGAGTGTGCAACTATGGAAGGTGATGCTGTCAGCGCCTGAGGTGTGAGCCAAAGCCCTAATGGGTAGAGTCCAATCCTAGACTCCAGCAGTACCCTAACTCACACTCTGGGATACCCAAGCCTTGCCTCTTGCCAACCTGCGCCTAATACTTTCCGTAATTAGGTGAACAGGATGCGTCCCTCCAGGGAGAGAGTTCGCATTCCATTCCAACAATCTATCTCTGGGATTTCCATGTGTAGGTGCAATGCTGAGTTAGAGCATTCTCCCCGCAAACAAGAGACCTAGGTTTGATTCCCAGCATGTGAAATGTTGGGCAAGTTTGCTTACTCCACACACACCTCTGTTTATCTAGTAGTAAGTAGGAACCCAATTGTTAGTCGATTGCCTGCCCTACTTACCTGCCCGTTCCTCTGGCTCCGGTTTGCTCCACATCCCCCGCCCCAACCGCCCTACCATCGATGGCCGGGCCTTCAGCCTCTCAGCCCCTAGGCTCTGGAACTCCATCCCCCAGTGCCTTCGCCGCCTCCTCCCTTTCCTCCTTCAAGGCCGGTTTCAAGACCTTTCTCTTTGACTGTGCCTTCAGCTCCCCTCTCGACTCTCTACCCCCTCCTCGCTCCCTCCCTTCCCTCCCCTCACCCTGACCATTTCCCCCCAATGCTCGAGTCCTGACCCAACTGTACAGCGCCTTGGGACGTCCTCCCGACGTGAAAGGCGCTCTATAAATGGAATCTTGTTGTTGTTGTTGATTGTCAGATCGCTTTTCCGGGGGTAATAATAAATTGGTCACTTCAATTCACGACTGTTTGTGGGACATTGCTGTGCACAATTTGTTGTCGCATTTTGCCCACAAAATATACGGTCCATTCACTTCATAGTATATTCTGTGAAGCCTTTGAGACGTCTCAAAGACGTGATAAGGCGCTATATCAAATGCAAGTCGCGGAGATATTTATTATTACTATTAGGAATGGAATTCTGTTTGGTTACTCTTAAGCATGGTGATGGGTTTCCGCATGTATCAGATAACCAGCTTACCCACAAAAAATGTAGTGTAATAATGTTTCACAATAAAATGAAACTTCACATTGCCAGGTGCTTAATTCTGATTTACTCCCAGATCACAAGTTAAAAATGAAACTGACACTGCAGACTTGATTAAAATGATTCTGTTATCACATATTGTACCTCAAGAGTTATATGTTGTAGCTTAATCCAGAAAAAATACAAATTATTTGAATTACTGAAGAAAATCATATATTCAAAAATGGATGTAAATAAGCATCTTGTATAAAAGATTTTGCAAAAAAGTCAGTTTATACAGAATGAACATTCATGGTTGTAATAATTCACATCAGTAGCAAATTGCTTATGATTTCCAAAAATTTGGATTCTGGGATTGTCTTCTTTGAAAATTCTCATACCTGCAAAGAAAAAAAAGAAAAATTACACAAAGCAAATAGAAGAACCAATTCTCTTCATTGGTTTACAAGAAATAAAAAGGTACAAGGGAAAAATAAGTAATATAGTAACATTTTCAATATTAAATCCTAACAGAGAAGGCATGTCGAAGCTACATAAGCAAACATTTAAAACTGGCACAATTCCTTTAAAATCATTGGGGAGATGAAATGGAAAAGAGGATCTCTCAATCAAAAATCGTGATCTGAAAGAGAATGCCAATAGTGCAAATCCCATAATAACACAAGAGACCAATACAAAATATTGAATCAGAAACAGTTCCGGTATAACACTTTGAAAGAAAGAACTTTGTGCATCAAAAGCTGGATAGTTTCTGATTCGTACAACCAATGTGTCCACATTCCCAATTGCTAATCAGTGACCCATGTTGGGAAATGCATGTACGGCTGGGTGGAAAATCAGGATTGGAATCAGGCCTATTTATGATAGCCATGGTTGAATAGTCTGCCAACACACATTTTCCAAGCTCCAACACAAAAATAGCCACTTGGGCGAGGATAGAACAGCAAGAAAGCAGTCTCACCATCAAGATCCGCTTATTTTCAGACCTTCAGAGAATATGATGTTGCCATTCAAGGTTGATAAATTTACCAATTATCAGAGAATTACCCCACCACCCCCCGACCTCACTCTTCAAAAAAAACTTAAGACCAGAGATAGAAATTATCCAACAGGTCATGAATGAAGCTATAATTAGTACCAGAGCTAGGAATGGTAAAGACATCCTCCACCAGAAACAAACAAAATACATTGCAGCATTAATGACAAAGTTTTGCGAGGCTCTGCAGCTTTATATTATCTCATTGTTGAGTTAAAAATCAAAAAACCCATGATGAATGGCTGTAATGCATATAATAATAATAATAATAATAATCCTTGCATTTGATATAGCGCTTTTCACGTCAGGAGGACGTCCCAAAGCGCTTCACAGAACACACTGTAAAGTGAATTGACTGTATATTTGTGGGCGAACGCGGCAGCCAATTGCGCACAGCAATGTCCCACAAACAGTCGTAGATTGAAAATGACCAATTTAATTATTGTTTTTGGTTTTTTGGAGGGATTATTAGATAAAGAAGAAGTTGGAATTCCTTCCAAAATGTAACTTTTGATAAACTTTTGCCATGTAACATTTTAAAAGTAACTGGATTTTTATATCCTACTTTAAAATGTGGATCAAAAAACCCATGATGAATGGCTGTAATGCATATGATAAAGAAGAAGTTGGAATTCCTTCCAAAATGTAACTTTTGATAAACTTTTGCCATGTAACATTTTAAAAGTAACTGGATTTTTATATCCTACTTTAAAATGCGGATATCTAGTACTTTCATAAAATAAGATTTACCATTTCAAGACAACACTTGCTGGGATATACATCTCAGAGGGATTTGGGGTCATTTGAAGCTGAGTCAGTGCAAACGAGGTTGAAAAGTTGTAGAAGTTGTCTATCATCTTCTGTGTAAACTGAAAATATAAAAGTATTTTGGTCACAGTCCATGCAAGATTGCACATTACAATACTCCAAATTCTCCATGGCACAGCTGACCAGCAAATTCAGGGCTCCTTACTTCATCTTAATAAATCTCCAATGCTGAAACCTGATAAACATGACACTTTATTCTGAGTGAAAGGCAATTATTAAAAAGTTGCTATAAAAAGGCTATTAAGCAGATTTAAAATGCAGCACGAATATGGCTTTACTTCCTCTACTAGATTCATAGAGAATTTAAGAATGCTGTGATATGTCTACAATGCACTCAGATTACAACTTAATCAGCTGTATGGAAAGAAAACTGCACAAGGAACAAGGAGAGAAAGATAATAATTTTAGATGTTTTTGACTACCAAGGCAGTTTTCTACTCACATTACCTGGTCATATAAATATTATAAGATTCTGGAACATTCTTCCATTGATAGGAGTTTAGAAAGTTCAGTCATTTGGAATTCTGAAACATCACTAAGTGTTTCAGTCAGAAGCACATAGTATAATTAATGCCATGGGTAAGAGGCCAGTAAGCTTCATTCAATATACCTCCATTTACTCCAAATACCAAAAATAAATGACCTCCATTAGAAATATTATTACAGGTGTCAGCCTGGTTTAGTTTGTAGCATTCTCATCTCTGAGTCAGACTGTGGGTTCAAGCCCCACATTGGGTTGTTGAACTTACAGTCTGGGCAGGCACTCCAATGCAGGAAGTGCCATCTTCAAGAAGGGTCATTAAACTAGGGATTTTCAACCGGTCGACCACCACTGAGTGGCATCTCACACATGCTCACAATAAAATCAAGACGAAGGAGCAAAATTTACGACAGTTTAAACATTAAAGTTTATATTTTTATTTTGAGTTGCATGAAATACTTTGTGCAGCTGGCTTTGCTTTCAATTGCACTCAATAACTACACATTTCTATCACTTCTTCCTCTTGTCTTTTTGATCATGTGCGAGATCACTGCCTAGCGGCAATAAGACCGGTTGGAGACCCCTGCATTAAAATGAGGTCCTGTTTGCCTGTTCAGGTGGATGTTGAAGATCCCATAGCAATATTCAAAAAGAAAAGGAAATTTTGTGGCGAAGACACTTGCAAGTGTCTTGGTCACAAATTCCTCAAATACAAATCAGTCTCTTACTTCATGGCTGTTTGTGTGACAATGCTGTGTGCAAATTGGCTGCCGTTTTCGCCTACAAAGAGTCAACACACAGTAAAATCTTGTGAAGTGCTTTGACAATGTGATAAGGCTCTAAATTCACTTATGTACAATAACAGATTCAGAGATTGTGTTAACCAAAATTGTGCATATATTAATTACTCAAAAAATTGCCTGTATGCAAAAATTGTCACACCGTGTTTATAGTGTACACAATTTTTTTTTACAATCCAAGACCCATCAGTCAATATCAACCCACAACCTCCTGGGGCTGAGCAGGTGGCTGCCCAGCCCGAGAGAGGCAGGACTGAGGGATAGCCAGCTAACCAGATGCCCGGGAAAATGTAGCAAGATAACTTGATTTGCAGATCTTGGGGGTTGGAACATTTTTAAAAACCTTAACACGATTGAGATTACAATTCTGTTTTAGCAACTGCGACATAAAAATAAACATTAGAACAATCTGTGGAAAAAAATCTCACTAGGAACAGTGGCAATGATGGTATAACTGACAATGCTACTCAACATGTTCGCTGATTTCTCACTCCTTCACTCACTCTAATACAGTACTAGTCTCATTGAGTCTGATTATTCTGTGGATGTACATAACATTTTTATCTGAATTGCAGCCTTGCATGCTGCATATGCATTGGAAGATCATGAACTAACATTTAGATCTTTGGCAACTTGACAACCATCCTATTACAGTCATGTTCTGCGATAAATGCAGGTCAAGTCCTAACCGGACAACATTTTTTCTTTAACCTAATATATAGGCTTTGCTTTGAGTATTTGTGCCCACTGCAATTACCTGTGTGAAAGAGTCGACTGTTGATACAGCCGCACTAGCAACTGGTGTCTGCTGCGTCAACAGCTCTGTAGGTTCCACAGAAATCCCAATTTGGGCAATAGATTGAGTTTGCGGAATATTCATCATTCCAAAAGGATTTTGGCCACCGTCTTCTGCAAAAAAATGTGTATTTCTATAACTAAATTGTGGTTATCAATAAGAAAATCAATAGAGTGTAATTTGTTTCCATGCAGCATAGTTAAGTTGTCAACCCCCACCCCACTGAATTGGATTACAAGATTCAAAAAAATACTGTAGTTTGGAAACCACAAAAAGATTCTGGAGGAACAAAACATTTAGTAAAATATTAAGTGCACCTTTTTAGGGTTATACTCCAGTTAAATTCTACTAATCTACTAATATGGCTATTCACCATTATATATATAAATATATACACACACACACACACATATGACTTGGATGAAGGAATAGAAAGTTTTATATCCAAATTTGCAGCTGACACTAAGATAGGAGGCTCAGTAAATTGTGTAGTTGGGATTAGGAAGTTACAAAGGGATTTAGACAGATTAAGTGAGTGGGCAAAACTGTGGCAGATGGAGTTCAATGTAGGGAAGTGCAAGGTCATCCACTATGGACCGAAAAAAGATAAAGCAAAATATTTTCTTAATGGGGAGAAATTAAGAAATGTGGAAGAAGAAATCACTAAAAACAATTCACAGGTGCAAACGGTGATCAAAAAGGTGAATGGAATGTTATCCTTTATCTCAGGGCCTGGAATACAAAGGGGAAGAAATGATGCTTCAGCTGTACACAGCGTTAGTCAGACCCCATCTGGAGTACTGCGGTCAATTTTGGACACCACACCTCAGGAGAGATATATTGGCCCTGGAGGGGGTGCTGTGCAGGTTCACCAGAATGTTATCAAGAATAAAAGGCTTGTTATGAGGAAAGGCTGCATAAACCTGGATTGTATTCCCTTGAGTTTAGACAGTTGAGGGGTGATTTGATTGAGGTATTTAAGATGAATAAAATTAAAAGAGATTTGATGGGGTAGATACAGAGAAGCTATTTCCTCTGGTGGGGGAATCCAAAACAAGGGGGCATAGTCTTAAAATTAGAATCAGGCCATTTAAGAGTGAAATCAGGAAGCATTTTTTCACTCAAAGGGTGGTAGAAATCTTGAATTCTCTCTCCCTAAAGGCTGTGGATGCTGGATCCATCCACAACTTGAAGAGTGAGGTTGATAGATTTTTAGTAGGTCAAGTGTTAAGGGATATGGGGAGAAAGCAGGAAATTGGAATTGAATTGATTAAGTTGAGGTACAGATCAGCCATGATCTAATTAAATGGTGGAACAGGCTCGAAGGGCGGAATGGCCTACTCCTGTAATCCCAAATGAACTTTATAGATTCACTAAGATTAAGAGATTGTTCAATCATCATAAAATTGTTTCTTTCAGTCATAGTTCAGAACCCTATTGATCTTTACTAATGTCCAACATTTTTTTAATCAAATGCATGAAATTTAGACCTTGAGATCAGCAGTTCACAAATGGTGAGCAATCATTGCTCCACAAGCTGCTTAAGAAATCTTTAAAGACAAAGATGGCCAGGAACATACTACAATATGTTTCATTGTCTATGTTTAATATCAACACTGATTGGGATAGCAGGAAGCGCTATTGGAACCATTCAAAGATCAAGCAGAACCTAACAAAGTATGAAAAAAAGTCCTCAATACTATCAGAGAATCTTCAACTCCAGCCTGATGAAGATGCAATACATCATGCACTACTACAGTCATCTTTGGAAACCCAATTTCAGACAGCGCAAAAGATGGAATATCGGATTTCCTTTAGAGCGACAAAATGTGTAAATACACTTGTTTGAAACAGTGATGGCTTCTGTCTCATATCTGCTTCTGCTTTTAAAGTGTCTAGTTTTATAAGGGAACAGCAGTTAGCTCCAAACTCATAGTCTGATTATACAATATTTGACTTTCTCAAATCAGTTGATCAAAACTGACCTTCAAAATCCAAAAGACAAATTATACTCACCTGATTTTAAACCCGATATTTTGAAGATTGCACTAGGTTTTTCATTAGTTATAAATCCTAGTAACTGCCATACTGGCATTCCATTCTTGTCTGGATATGAGAAGTATACAGATCCTCCTGCTCCAACAGGGAATGGCATTGTCCCCAGCATAAAAACCACCACATGATTGACATTTTCATAATCAGGAAGGTTAAATACAAATTTGCCCTCGGCAACTTGCTGTGCATCTGTTTGCACCTGGGTCAAAGGAAAAAAGATCTGAATAAATGGACAGTATACAAGCAATATGAAGCAACCACCTCACAGAACACTAATAGCATAAGGCAGTTAACCCACCAGGGAGAAGTAGCGAAAGATGCACAGAACATAAACGAATGAAAGTCACTGGTTTTGAACCGAAAACACATCTGACCCCAACACGGACTGTTGCTTCATGTCTGCAGCAATATCCAAGTACTGATAAACATTCAGAATTCTCATTCAACTAACAGAAAAAGTATAATGGAGCTATCCAACTACAGTATTTATATCTCAAGATAACCACTATTGACTATGTGGATTTGTAAACAACTGGTATATTAGTCATTTAAATTTGTAAACAATTCTCGAATAAATATTTCCTAATTTTAAGAAACAGCAAGAATCAATTACAATCTGATGGAACTACTGTAGAAGAAATTAAATATCACCCAAACCATAACAAATATTTAGCTAACTGTATCAAATAAGGACAATCAATATTGATGACTGAGTGCCTATACAATATTTATTGGAATTCAATCAGGGTATCTGAAAATTATACTTATTCAGAGTATTGAGGTTTGGCACTTAAGTTAATGCTGTACTACTTATTCCAAGCACTCTGAGAGCTACCCTGTGTGAGGGGCGCTATACAAATGCAAGTTGTTGTTATGTGGAGTCCTGTAGCTCAGTGGTTAGAGCACTCGCTTTGCAAGTGAGAGACCTGAGTTCAATTCCAGGCAGGTCAGGGCGAAACCTTGGGCAAGTTTCCTTACGCCACACGCCTAATAATAATCCCTCCAAAAACCAAAAACAATAATTAAAAAATTGGTCATTTTCAATCTACGACTGTTTGTGGGACATTGCTGTGCGCAATTGGCTGCCGCGTTCGCCCACAAATATACAGTCAATTCACTTTACAGTGTCTTCTGTGAAGCGCTTTGGGACGTCCTCCCGACGTGAAAAGCGCTATATCAAATGCAAGGATTATTATTATTATTATTATTATTATTATGTATGCTTTGATTAATTTAACATTTGGGCTCTGCAATCTGAAAGTTAGTTTGATCTAGATCAAGGTAGGAAATAATAATAAATAATCCTTGCATTTGATGCAAGAATCTTATCAGGTCTCGAAGCACTTCACAGGATATATTGTGTACTTTGTGGGCAAACGTGGCAGCCAATTTGCGCACAGCAAAATCCTACAGCCATGGAATGAGTGACCAATTTTATTTGGAGGACTGTTGGCCAGGACACTGGGATAAACTCCCTTCTCAACAACAAGATTACACTTGTATAGCGCCTTTCACGTCAGGAGGACGTCCCAAGGCGCTGGACAGTATACAGCATTTCAGACCCAAGCTCGGGTCAGGGGGGAGAAGGGAGGGGAGAGGAAGCGAGGTGACTAATGGCATGGTCGAAGAGGAGGGTTTTAAGGCGAGACTCGAAGGAGGCCAAGGAGGGGGCAAGGCGGAGTGACTGGGGGATGGAGTTCCAGAGGTTGGGGGCAGAGTGGTTGAAGGTTCTCCACCAATGGTGGGGCGGGTGGGTGGGAGACGTGGAGCAGGCCGGAGGGAGCGGGCGGGTTGTTAGGGAGTTAGGAGGTCACAGAGATAGGGTGGGGTGAGGCCATTGATGGTTTTGTAGGTGAGGACCAGGATTTTGAACTGGATCCTCTAAAGGATTGGGTGAGAATGGGGGAAATGGGGTCACAGAGTTTGGTGCGGGAGAGGATACCGGCTGCAGAGTTCTGGATTATCTGCAGCTTGTGGATGGAGGAGTTGGGAAGGCCGACAAGCAGTGCGTTTGCATAGTCGAGCCTGGAGGTGATGAAGGCATGAACAAGAGTTTCAGCGGCCTGAGGGGTGAGGTAGTGGCGGAGTCGGGCGATGTAACGGATTCTCCTTTTGAATAGTGCCATGGAATCTTTAACATCCACCTGGACAGGCAGATGGGACCTCAGTTTAACCTCTCATTCAATGGATGGCACCTCCAACAATGCAGGACACCCCCAACACTGCATTCGAGTGTCAGTATAGCCAATATAGGTTCCAATGCTCCAAAACAAGTTTATGAACTGCTGTAAATTTTATTTAAATTCCAATGGCCAACTGGTTATTTTCAATTCACATACTATGATTTGGGGCTGAGGCAGGGAGAAGAGATTACAGTATTACTGTTATTCAAATATCATACCATATCATGTCTCCACTTCAAAAATTGACTTATCCATTTGTTTTCATTGACTGAAATTTTCAAAGGTGCTGTTTTAGAAATTCTCCTTTTGCAAAAAACAGTTTTAAAAAGTGGTTAGTATTTTCAGTTGTCACCAATCTAACAATTTAGTTAAAGTAACTAAGATACTCATAGAGACTTGTTCAAATTATTATGCTGCTTAACCACTACTTCAACATTGAAGATTTTCCATTTTAAAGTTTTCTAGGAATTTCTGTGTTTTTTTTAAAATAACAAAACTGTTTCAGTATATCAATGAATGCTTTGTTTCCGGGGAAGGGGAGAGGGAGGGGTTGATGAATTGTAATCCTACTAATCACAAAAACTGTAGTATTCCTCCTTTATTCTAGCTATGCAAACTTTTTTTTTCATGATGCACTCACTGGAAATAAGAGAACAATCACTGCACGGATAGATCATCTTTGGCAAATGACAAGGAGCAGGTTCTGGAGAACCACAGATCAGCCAGTGACTCAATTTTCAGGTCACTTTGATGACCACGTTCTCTGCTGAAGACCTTTCTTTTCGACCGTGCCTTTGGTCACCATCTCCCCCCTCCCCCTGGCTCGGTCCCGGGACTCAAAACTTTAAAGCGCTCTGGGACGCCGTCCGGCGTGGAGGGCGCTATATAAATCCAAGTTGTTGTTGTTGTTGTTGAGAGATTGAACTTTTTAAAAAAAAATGACATATTCAATCCACAGAATCGCAGCAAGTTGTCAGTTTCTAAACTGAGACTGACATCTAATTTATTTCCGATGTGAAATGAAGCTTCACCGGGCGAGACATGCACAGACAGAGCCCAGCAGTTGAGTGCCTTCCCTCCTCAAACAGAAACCTTCCTACGCTTTTGTAATACTAACAATAATCCTTGCATTTGACATAGCGCCTTATCACATCTTTGAGCCGTCTCAAAGCACTTCACAGAATATATTGCAAATTGAATTGACTGCATACGTTGTGCGCGGGTGAAACACGGCAACTGAACGCACACGACAGTGTCCCACAAACGGTCGCGGATTGAAGTGACCAATTTATTAATTTTTTTGTGTGTGTGTGGGGGGGGGAAGGAATTTTACAATATAACCAACGTATGTTTTATTCTTTCGAGATGCAAATGTTGCTTTTGCAGCCGGAAAACTAACGGGTTTGCCTTTCACTTCAGCAGCTCCCGGTGATAGCTTTATTGGAGATCACCCCCCAAACCCCCAAACCCCCACAGCCCCACCGCTGGAGGCGACAGTCACACAATGACCACTCACTCACTCACTCACTCACCAGTCTCCCCGCCACCAAACATCCGAACATGATCCGAACCCTCCTCAACGGCCGTTACGGTCACACAACAGCAACAACAGCAGCCTGAGCCAGTGTGTGACATGTCACTGTCACTGCCCCGACCCCGGCCGCCGCCTCTCACCCACCATTCGGGAGAGCAGAAGCATCTGGAACCGGAAGCAACGTCGCCACTGACCTGTTGCCCCGGAAGCGCTCGCCACACACACACACACACACACTCCCCCCCCCCCACCACCCCGCGGTTTCTATGGCAACCCGAGGCGCTCCAGCTGCAGCGGTTGGTTTGTTTCTTCGCCGCTCCCCCCCCCCACCCCACCCCCGACATTAGTATTAGTATTATTATTATTATTATTTACGAAGAAAAAAGCGACGCCGTCGGGACAACGACCCCCGCGTTTGCTGTGAGTTTACTGCGCATCGTCTCGGAGCGTCTCAGAGAGTCCCTCGGTGTGATGGCGGGCGAACCTGGCGGCCGGTGCGGACACAGCCGTCGCCGTTGGATGGAGGTGCAGTGCCCGGCAGTGCAGGAACCTGGCCCGCGGTCAGGGAGGGGGGGAGCTGCCGGACCCGAGCTGAGCTGAGCTGAGCTGCGACCCGACACCTTCAAACCCAGAGGCGAGTGCGTCCACACTGAGCCAGACTGCACCTGCCGACTCCCACAGTAACCACACACACACACACGCACACACACACACACACAAGCAACACGTCTGGTTTCCACCACCAACAACAACAACAAATTACATCTGTATGTCATGTTGGCTGCCACGGGTTCGCCCGCAAAAAAGCATCACAGTCCATTCACTTTGCGGCACATTCTTGGAGACGTCTCGACGACCTGACAAGGCGCTGTATCGAATGCAAAAGTTACTCTTGTCGCGACTGTCACGCTACGAGGATCTCCCAAGGCACTGGGCAGTCAACGATTTGCACTGGAGCTTGGGGTTGGGATCAGGGGGTGGGGGGGGGGGTTTGGGACAGGGAGGGTGGTTCCAGCTCCTTAGACATCCTCTTGACAGGAAAGGTGCTACGTAAATGCAATTTGTTGTTTTGTTGACCGCACGTGTACGTTTAGCCTTAAATCGGACACAGACAAACAGCAGCCAGGTTTCTTTGTTTGGGAAACAAAAGAGGGGGGGGCGACTATTCCTTACATTTATTCTTGTTTCAAGGCTTCCGAGTTCCTCCTGAATTGTAGCAGAGCCTGGTTTGAACTTATGGTGCAAGTTAAAGGACCAAATTATGTCCTCGTCCTTTTTCAGCCCCCCCAAAAATATTGTTATACAGCACAGTATTTCCACAGAGGTTATTTGATAATCTTCCAAAGTGGAAGGGAAAATTAACAAATGGGTCATAAAAGGCAATAATAATGACCTTGCATTTTATATAGCACCTTATCACGTCTTCTAGACGTCTCAAATGTACTGAAATGAATATTAAAACAAAGTCTAAAATGCCAAACATGCATAAAATAGGATTGGCCACTCACTCCATGGTTGTTTGTGGGACAATGTTGTGCACTGCTGCCTGCTGCATTTCACCCACAAAATATAACAACTTGCATTTATATAGCGCACTTCGCACCGGGTAGTGTCCCGAAGCACTTACACAGTCAAACCACTTTATAGCATATCCTGTGAAGCTTGTTGAGATTTCTCAACGATGTGATAAGACACTTTATCAAATGCAGGGACTATTATTATTAAAACATTAAACTCTGTTCAGAGAATTGTATTGGGCACATCACTATAGGAAGTATGCCAAGGTTTTATTAAAATCTTTTTCAGATCTCCTCTCAAACTTCTTTGTTCTAGGGAAAACAGCAATTTCATCTTAATGATACTTCATTACTTTTGTTTATATAAAAACATGTAATATAAAACCACAATGAAACAAATATATCAATAGCACATATTTGTCACAGCAGCAAGAATCATAGACATAATAAAAAAAGTAAATAAACAAATCGTGTCAACGGATAAAATGAAAGGTGTTTGCATGTGGGGAGGAAGGTGACAGTTGTATCTAGAATTAAGAATGCTGATTGGTGGGTTGGGAGCAAAGAGCCTGTGAATATTATTAACAGAGTGGATTTATTCTAATAGCTTTATATAAAGAATGTTCAATTTTTGGACAAAGTGGTTTATCTGAAAGATTATTTAAAAGGACACTGTCTGTCTGTATGGTTTCACATTTTTACAGCAATAAAGTGATTTTATAAACTAAAAAATTGTATGGAAGTTTTAAATAGACAAAATATTTTAAAGTAAAGTTCTATAACTGTCTCAGAAATCAACTTTCAGATGGTCCTAAAAGCAATGCGTGTACACAATTCAGATGGATACAAATATTTTCTGCACTTTTTAGCATGAATCTCAATCTTTATGGTCAACCAACAAAATACATTTTCTTGATTGAATATATCTTGATTATGCCATAAATCAAGAGATATTCAATCACGAAAAAATTTAAAACATGACCGATCGATCAAACATGGATTTGCTTCGACTAGCGCAAACATTCAGTTGGCCACAGGTTGGCCAAAACTGCTCTAGTTCCTATTATCTATTATTTCATCCCGACCAATTTAATTAAATGTCAGATTAAATTAAATGTACACTTGGTATTCTAGATAACATGTTGGCAGAAACGTTAAAAGCTGATATTTGTAGCCAATCAAAAAGTATCAAAATCACTTTAACGTTTATTTATGGTTACATTTGTTCAACTAATTCATGTTGAGGATGTTGAGTGAGCAGTGTGAATCAAAGTTGGCCTTACATTCTTTTTTGAGATCACTCAATAAATTAAATGAATTAGATTTAATTCTGATTCAATACAATGCATCTAATACCAATTAACCTTGGGATGATAGAATTATGGTAACTAATTTTAGGGCTTCTGATTTAAGTGTTATTTTTGAGCAATTTTAGTTTCAGTGTTTATAAATCAGAGTGTTACTGTAATAAAAGACGTGCCTGCACACATGGAGGGGAGTGCCACCCTCCTCTCACAAACGCTTCACCAGAAGCACCTGTTCACATGGAGATGGAGAGGCAGAGAACACCACACGTGGAGTTGGCACACCAGTGACAGAAAACCTTAGTTAAAGTAACCATTTCTGGCCTTTATTGGATACAAATCTATTTAATTTTTAACATTTTAATGTTCACCAGTTAAAACTGAAAATCAGAAGCTGATTGCTGTGCATGGAGCTCTAGGAAATACAACCATCTGTTTAATCAGGTTTCAAACTAGAAAAGTGTCAAGGCATTTATTTTAATCATTCCTTCTCACCTACCAAGTCGGGTTATGTAAAAGTCGCAACTCTGTTGACTTGATGGGCTGAATGGACTTCTGTTCTTAATTTCCAATTGGATCCAGCTTAATTAAACACACACGGGCATATATTTTATAAGCCTGGTCACTAACGTTTTAAATTATCCAATCTTCAGAACTAGTGCCAAAGTAACAGGTCATCAACTTTAAAGACTGACGTTTGAATTGCCCTGAGACTTGTCCTAGTTTATCCAACAGTTGAGAAGTGATTGGAGTTCTGTACCACATTGAAAAATTGGGGTAGACTTTGCCCTATGTTAGGCCAACTTTGATTCACACTGCTCACTCAACATCTTCAGTACCAGTGTTCTGAATCTTTGTAGATTGCAGCTCTCTGAAAGTATAAAAGTCCCATGGCATACGAATATGGGCTGCAGAGCCCCAGTGAGTGCTCTGGTGGATAATAACAGTGATCCACCACAGACCTCTATGAAGTGGTCCAATCAGCCATCAGGACTCAAATCTACAACTATGGGATACAAGTACATGTTCCTGAGGCTACCATTAAGGACATATGGTTTATAAATGCATAGAAAGTGCATACATACAGACAGACAACTCATTTAAAAAATATTTTATTGACAGCACAGCAGTGGAGCAAAAGAAATAGGCAGCACAAACTTTACATCATTCAATATTAGATAGACATGCATAAACTAAATATTCCTGTCAAAACATAAAAAATGGGCATGGCAAGCACAGCAGATATTCACTGGTTCACATGTAGTATGTTAGTTAAATTGGACTAAAGTTGGGTTCAGATTTTAGAAATTACCGAAGTCTATCCCAACGCCAGATAGTGGCATCATCACATACAGCTATGAGAATACTGCTATCTCTGCTAAAGCTTGTTTGTCGTATGGCTGCAGTACATTTCGGATAGGCCAGCGTTGTGCATCTAAGAGAGAAAAAAATAATCCAACAGCTGTAATACACGTTTACAAAGCTTGTACCAACCCAAACCTATTGTTATATTATCAAAACTATGCCACAGCACAAAGGTAGACCTATGTATTAAAGAATTTATTCCACAATTTTCCATAAGGAGTTTGGAGTTCAGTTTAGAAAATGTAGGGAAGGTTTTAAAAAAAAGTTCCTCATGTACCTACATCCACTTGAGGAGCACTGGCAGAAGCAGGAGTGCCACTTGGCCATTCTATCGTGAGGCTCAGAGGGAATATAAAATGGAGGTTAACAAAAATAAATTCCTTGATTAAATATTGTAATCATTTTGAAATAACTAATTAAACTTTGTAAAGAAAAAGGAACTTCACGAAAGAGTACCTTTCCAAAAATAAAACATTAAAGATTTAAGAGTACCATTTTTGCTTCCATCTGTAGTATTTTGTTATTAAACAGTTGACTTTTGATGACATAGGTAGTATATATAATACATATATATCATACATATATATTTACACATATATTTACTAATGTTATATTACATATACTACCTAAAGAGTTACAAAGCCTGAATGAGGGCTGAATTACTGCCAGAGATGCGGAATAAACCCAAGGAAGATTTAGCATCAATATTTAAATTAATTCAGATTTTCACAGGTTCATGTTTACCAATGTTTTGAAATTTCTTAAGTATTGACGTTTTGGATTTAAATTCAGGAGGCTACATTACATTCTATAGGATGAACAACTACCAAGTTGTTAAATGCTACTCTCGTCACTTAAATTTTCATACAAACCATTTACAAAACAATTTGTAATTTACCAAAAAGTAATTTGAACAAATACTAACTTAGCCTTATGAGGATCTTCCACTTCAAGATCCCACACATAGAGTTTTCCAACTTGATTACCAAGGGCCAGCATCTACCACAAAATAAAGAAAATTGTTAGTTTCAAATAAACTACTGAGCGCTTTTAAACTAAAATTGTTGATGCAATAATGAGGCAACAACTCTGAATAGAGAGTGAGCATATAGCACAAGTTACACTGTCCCACTCATGCTGCTTATTACAAAGAACGTTCAGGTATGGAAACAGGCCGCTTTGGCCCAATCAGTCCATCAGTTTATACTCCACACTAGTCTACACTCATTTCTTCCTCCCTCCCATACCGTTCCATTCTCCTCTCCCTCATGTGAAGGTCTAGCTTCCACTAAATACATCTCATTTAACCATAGTTTCAAGTAGTGAGTTCCACAATCTCACTACCCTCTTTGTGAAGTAGTTTCTCCTAAATTCTCTTTTAGATCCCCTAGTCGCTATCTTCATGTGTCTTTCTGCTCAGGCAAAGTGAAGCTTTGAGCATATGTAATAAAATATTTAAATTGAGATGTCTGATAATTTTTAACATTATTGTCCAGTCTTATCCAACTCTTTAAATTAAAAGATAAAATGCAGTGCAGTGAATTTTAAAATAGAAGTTCACTTTGCACCAATTGATGTTCTACTGTAGTAATTGAGAAACTAAAGGCCACGCAGGCTTGTGGTGGTGTCAAGTCACTTAAAACTTTATTCGTATTTAAATGTTACCATAAACCTACAGCTTTTCCACGTATTCTATCAAACAATTCAAAGCAGATGTTCTTTGAGTGTTAACCTTTATTAGGTAATAATAATAATCCTTGCATTTGATATAGCGCTTTTCACGTCGGGAGGACGTCCCAAAGCGCTTCACAGAACACACTGTAAAGCGAATTGACTGTATATTCGCGGCAGCCAATTGCACACAGCAATGTCCCACAAACAGTTGTAGATTGAAAATGACCAATTTATTTTGTCATTTTTTTTGGTTTTGGAGGGATTATTATTAGGCGTGTGGAGTAAGGAAACTTGCCCAAGGTTTCGCCCCACCTGGAATTGAACTCAGGTCTTGAGTTCAATTCCAAAAAACAAAAAAACAAAAAAACAAAAAACAAAAAACTTGCAAAGCGAGTGCTCTAACCACTGAGCTACAGGACTCCACAATCTGGAATCTGGAATCCGGATCTGGAATACCTACCTAAACCAGAAAATAAACAAACTACGAAAAAGGTGTGAATGTTATTGCACAAAAAGTGTATTAATAGAATTGAAGTGTAAATTTTATATCTACCTTTTGCCAGAAATCCATTGAAAATCTCATATACCAGATGTCACACTGACTGTAATCAAATCTTCCCAGGATGGTCACATTTGACTCATTTGGTTTTATTCTATCAATTTCATCTTCCATTTTGCCAGGTTTCCAACACACAATGGCATTTTCGCAAGACTGAAAGAGAAAGTAATTCTGCTAATTTACAACAAAAGGTCACTATGCAGTGGGTTTTACTCAATACTGAGAACAATAATTTTCAACTAAAGATACAAGCACATTTTTTTTACATAACACTACTCAATAGATTTCCATGGCTGAGATCAGAAATTTGTGAGAATCACAGGAGTAAATTCATTGTGATCACAAGAAACTCTGTTCAGCGCCTTGGGACGTCCTCCCGACGTGAAAGACACTATACAAATTTAATTTTGTTGTTGTAAATTCTCAATTCTTGCCATTCTATGACATAGCAGATTAATGTTCTATTAACCTACCAACTGTACCACTAAGCAGTACCTATAGATGAATCTTTATGACTTGTTGGGTGGGGAGAAAATGACTCTGTGACAAGATCAACGTTACAAACATGAAAATAAAATATTTACCTTAGAAAGTATCAGATCTCCAAGCCATCGCACACAGTCCACATAATTTCTATGTATGTCCCTTGTGGAGAAATCTGGGAAATGTATTTTCTGTGATACAAATGGCCTATAATCAAAAATTTATTTAAATGAATGTATTTTATTTAGAAATATTAAATCATCTCTCAATACAAGATATCTTGAACGACCATTCACAATTTGAGCAGCTATCAGTATAATTGCCAACTTGAATCAAGTTTACAAAATATTTTAAATCGTTCTCATGCAGATACAAAGGGAAGCGGAACAGACCTTATAAATGGATAATTTGCGGTCCTCTGCTGCTGTGATAGATATATATATAGTGTATATATAACTGGGGAAAAACCCAAACGCTACTAATAAAAACAAGCTCACGACAACTTGCATTTATATAGTGCCCTTCACTCAGGACGATGTCTCAGAGAACTTCACACAGATGGGGTCAGTTGCAGAGCAAGGAAAGCGGTGGGGAGAACCTTGGTGTAAATAGCACTACAAATATCAACAATTACCTGTTAGTTTTACTTGGATTATATTCATTAGATCCCTGGATAGCTTTCAGCATCCTTTCAGAGTTGATTCGCCATAATTTAAGGGAATGATCCATGCCACAAGACATTATTTTCTCACCAAGGAGATCAAAATCCTGGTAAAAAAAAACTGTAAATACATGTTCAAAAGAATACAATCTCAATTAAAAAATACTCATCGAGGTAGAAATAAACATCTAAAAAAAAATGTAGGCATTCAGAAAGCCCAAAACAAACCTTTTACCTCCCTGGCACAATACTCACAGTGAGACATTTCTATTTCCTGCATATTTGTTGCAGCCCTAAAAGTGTGACTATCCAAATAGCAACAAATGTTATACTGTAAAGCAGGGGTGGGCAATTATTTTGGCTGCCGGGCCACTTCACGAGTTTTGGTAAGCTTTGCGGGCCACACTTAATATAGATGCAAATGCTTAATAGCTCAAAATCAAGTCTTACACTTGTACTTGCATAAAATAAAGTCTATATAATTGACATTCATTAAAATTAGATCATATAAAAACAACTCATTGAGCAGACATTTATTCGATATTTATTCACATATTGATGAGAATGTGAGAAGCTCACTCAATGGGAAGAATGAAAGCTCTGATGTGTGTTAACCAGACAATTGAAGTCAGGCATCGTCTCCGTTGTTGCAATGTGGAGTACTGCTGCAAGGTGGTCATCAGTCATCACAGATCTATGTTTTGATTTATTGAATTTCATCACAGAAAATGTCACCTCACATATGTGTGTTGATCCAAACAGCACAAGCATCCTCCGGGCATGAGCTTTTATTTTTGGAAAGGTATATTCATTAAGAGAGGCGTAAAAACTGGGAAGCGGCACTGATTTGAATTGCTCCGCAATTGCAGGTCAATAAGCTCAAGTTGGAGGTCAAATGGGGTTTTGTCAACATCAAATGAGAAAGGTGAAGAGACCAAAGACAGGTCATTTTCGATCAAATTGAAATCCTGGAATCGACGAGAAAATTTGGCATTCAAATCAAGTAGTGACGGAGTATACTTTTTAAGGCTTTGATCGCTTTGAACAGTAATCTGCTGTGAAGTTGGAAAGTGGGCAAACAGCCTGTTTCCTATCTGATGCGATAAAATAAATAATTTTGTCATAAATGACTTGACACTGCAATACAAAACGTGCACAAAGGACCCCTTCTGTTGCAGTTTTGAATTCAGTTCATTCACGTGGCCCATGATATCAACGGCAAATGCAAAATCAGAGAGCCAATTCGCATCATTCAGTTGTGGCAAATCCAAATCTTTTTGTTTCATGTCCAAAAATAAATCAATCTCTGTTCTCAGTTCCCACACTCTTTTCAAGACCTTTCTTAAATTAAGCCATCTTACATTCGTGTTTTACAGAACATCCATGTGCTCGGATTCCTATTCCTCAAGCAGAGTTACAAATTGCCTGTGGTTTAATCCTCTTGCTCGAATATTGTTGACCACTTTTGTAACTGTGTCCACAACATTACTTAGTTTTAGAACCCTCTTACAGAGGACCTCTTGGTGGATAATGCAGTGTAGAAAACAATATTCGGTTCTGGATTTGTTTCTTTGACTTGATCTTGAATTCTTTTCAGTAACCCAACATTTTTGCCCGTCAGATTTGAGCTTCCATCGGTGGTCACATTCACCAATTTTTTCCAATCCACTCCTAATTTTACTGGCTCCAAAAAGTCTTCTCCAGTTGTTGTATCTTTCATTGACTGCATTGATACTAATTTTTCTAATTTTTTAATTTATTTTTATTTTATTTGTTTTATTTTCCACCCACTGGTAAAACAATATTTAGAAGTCCATTCTTTGTTGAATATTCGGCCTTCAGCGTCTACTTTCCGCTTCTTTCACTGAAGAGGACGTTAACAGTCTTAAAAGTATTGCCGCTGTTGCTGTGCGCGGTTGAAAATTTGCCGATCCATACATTTCTGACATCAGCCTGATCCAACATTTAAGGCAGCATGTCCACAACTAAGCAGTGTGATTGGCTGATGTTACCAGTCAGACTCAAATGCGAAATTTGTGCGACTTTCTGGGACTGAACCAACTATAATTTTTTCTATCGCTAGACACAATGGCGGGCCGGAGATAATCATTTGGCGGACTGGATATGGTCCGTGGGTCGTATTTTGCCCACCCCTGCTGTAGAGGCTCATTCACTGAACATATTAGAGAATGCCAAATTACTGACTGACGTGATAGCCAAAAATAGCATGTGAAAAATTATTCATCATTGTCGTCGTCATCACATTACAATGTACATGTTTTCATCACATCCAGGATGCTAACGTGGAGTCCTGTAGCTCAGTGGTTAGGGCACTCGCTTTGCAAGCGAGAGACCTGAGTTAAATTCCAGGCAGGGCGAAACCTTGGGCAAGTTTCCTTACTCCACACGCCTAATAATAATCCCTCCAAAAACCCAAAACAATAATAAATTGGTCATTTTCAATCCACGACTGTTTGTGGGATATTGCTGTGCGCAATTGGCTGCCGCGTTCGCCCACAAATATACAGTCAATTCACTTTACAGTGTGTTCTGTGAAGCGCTTTGGGACGTCCTCCCGACGTGAAAAGCGCTATATCAAATGCAAGGATTATTATTATTAACTCCCTGCTCTCCAGACTTCCGACCTTCTTCCACCTCATGCTGCAAATTATTCAGAACTCTATCACTCCCATCCTCGTCCAGCTTCAGTGGCTCCCCATCCTTCAGAGCATCAAGTTTAAGATCCTCGTGCTCACTTTCAAAGCCCTCATGATTTTGCTTCTAATCTCTGCGCCCTCCCAACACCTTACCAACTTTCCCGCTCTCTCCACTCGCCGGCACTGGTTTGCTCTATGTCCTCCACCCTGCACCCCCCACCACTGGCAGTTGAGCTTTCGGCCTTTCTGCCCTCACCCTCTGGAACTCCCATCCCATGTTTGAATGTACAATTTTACTTTGAGGAAGCCAGAATAGAAATGTTTGAAGCAATCTTCAAGCCACCAGCTAAGGGCAAAGAACAGAAATGTAGAAGGTCTTTGTACTTACTGCACTCAAAACCTCATCTCGATGGCCTTCCACACCTCCAAATATTGCAACTAATGTGTCTGTCTGGATGTTCCAAAACCTTAGGGCATGATCTACAATCAAAGACAGTTTTCATGAAGCCTTTCAGGAATATTTCAATGAAAACTTATTTTGAATTATATGACACCTTAATGATATATGTGATCTCAGTGAAGTTTGAACATCTAGCATGACCCCCTTACCACCAAAAAGCACATTTGGTTTAAAAAACAAGAGTTTGTTAAATAAAATTTCCAAGGCAGTAAGAAGTCAAGGCAGGAGGTCAAGGCATCTCAGTCTGGAGCTAATTGCAACACTGTAAAATGCACATTATGGTAAATTATTTGATCAAACTTTCAGAAATCTATCAGCATCACCTCCTGCCTCGACTTCTTACTACCTTGGAAGTGAATGACCGATTAATATGGCCAGGACACAGAGAAACGTGCTTCGCTTTTCATTTTTTTAAAAACAAACCAGACTGGAGAGAGCCATGCCATCACCTGAAGTAATAATATATTCTTTCCTTGAACAAGGCATTCAATGGACTGGAAAGTCACAGTCTGTCATGCATCCTGCCATCCTGAGACTCAAGAATCTAAAGCCCAGCAACTACTCTATTGCATCTTAAGGGTCTTGCAATGTCCTCCCAATGTGAAATGTTCTATATAAATGAAATTTGTATTGTACCGTATCTTACCTTTGCTCACTGAGAGGAGCAGATTTGGTTCTCTAGGGTGGAATTTCAACTCATTGATAGCATTACCATGTCCAACATAATGCTATGATCCACAAAGAAACAAAAGTGGCATTAGTTTCACTTCATTAAATTGAGATTTAAAATGTGAACAAGAGATTATGTACATCATTCAAAATGTAGCAATATTGATATAAAGGCAAGTACAGTTTAAAAGGAAGATTTGAGTAGAAAATTACCAATATTATTCAAGCCCTTTCTAGCTTTGACAATATTATTTGAGCTTTCAGGAACTGAATAAGTAATTTAGTGGAAAAAATATTAAAAATGACAAGATTCACAATAGTTATAGACTTTAAGAGACCATTAAAAACCAACACCAAGAGCTGTGACTAAAATTTAATCTGTTGAAGGCACTAAAACTGATCTTAAGATTGCATTTTGATATTGCTACCATAGTATTTAATGGTTTCCTCATTTTCTTTCAGCTCCAGTTGAGAACTAATCTGTAGAAACATTAAGAGTACAAAATGCATAATTCAAAGTTGCACTCACCTTAATGCACTGCATGGAGATGGGGTTAATAATACGGATGATGCCTCTTGATCCTGCCACAGCAAGAAGAGGATGACTGGTGTTGCTATCGTAGGTCCATGCACAGGTGTAGAAGTTTTCATCTGTCTGTACAGCTCCAGAGTTAAAGAGTCTGTACTGAATGAAAGTCACCAAAATATTCTTTCTTTTTACCCTTTACAGCTCTTTATTTTCTTATTCGGCCCAGCATTCTGGATCGCAAAAAAATGCTGATACCAATCTGGTTGTGTGATCAGCAAGAGAAAAATCTATTGGGGCAAGCCCAATAATATCATGCTTTTCTTCACTTTTTCAATGATCACCTGATCTGAATCAGTAGAAAGATGCATTATCATTTATATAGCATCTTTCACATTGGGAGAACATCTCAAAGTATTCGACACTGCTGGCTGGGCACCCAAACTGGGGATGGGAATGGGCTGTAAGCAGTCAAAGAGATTCGTCTTGAATATCAAGCAGCTCACTTTTCTAGTTAGCAAATAGAAATATTACCCCATCATGTCATATACTTTATATCATGTTCCACTCATGCCTAGAATCTTTGGCAAAGTATTTTTCCTGATCGACTGCAAATTAAATAACAGTAATTGAGGTTTAGAGGTGCATCTGAATATTAGGAAACTTAGCTCTGGGCTTTTTCCAGGTTCCACCACCACTATTTAAGTAGTGACGATTCAGACCAACTGTTTTGAACGTGCAGATACTGGCTTTGGCTGCTATGGATCCCAGGATCACAAATGAAGTTAATTTGTTGAGCCACCACTCCCTATGAAACAATCTAATTGCCGTCAAAAAAGGAACAGCAGAGTGGTAGAAAGAAGCAAAGATATGTTTTAAATAAATATTACAGGTGAAGAGAGAGAAGGTTTTTATAAATGTAGAAACAAACATGAGAATCCCAATACCCAAATGAAAAAATATTTAGCAAATTGATCTAACTTGAAAATAACTTAATAGGCAGTCACGTAGGAATGACCACTGGAGTTTAATTTTCCTTTAAGGTCTTGGTTCAGCGGTAACCTGAAGTATATATTCAGAAAAAAAGGATACATCAGCGTCAACATAAGATTGTAGTAACCTTACATCCCCTTGGGAATGGCATTCGTAAAGTGTCACCTAACCCAAATAAAGAGAATCAGAAGTTACTATTCTGCAACCAATGAAACCAACTTGTGTATGAATTTTACATATTTGTATTAAAGAAACATTTTTAATTTTATTACACTACTTGATAAACAACAAAAAAAGCAGTTTTTCAGGTAACATTTAAAAAGCAGTTCTCATCAGTTTCGCAAGGAAACTTCTCCCCTTAAAACAGTCTGACATTCCTGATCAGCTAAGTTGTAACATGGAGAAGTACAAGTCCACTATACTGTGCTCAAAGAACATGCCTCAGAAAACCTATGATGCTTTGAATTGGCTCAATTTTCCATACCAGCAATCTTAAACCCTTGCTATCCCAGGCTACAAAATTAGGGTTAAACTGAGGATTTGTGCCAATCTGGAACACACTAAACTCTATCCCCATCACACCAATTCTGGCTCCCTATCACCGAATGGATCGATTTCAAGATTCTCACACTCGTCTTCAAATCCCTTCATGCCCTGGCACCTCCCAACCTCTCCTGCTTACTCCCCAACCTCTTCAACTGTCTCTGGCCTGCTTGTCCCTCATGCCCTCCATCCACCATCGGTGACCGTGCTTTCGGACGGTACGCACCATTAGCCCAGCTAAATCATACACGGAAAATGGCAACCAATGAGTCCACCAACAATAACACCATGAAGCCGCAATGTAAAACCACACCGACCACAAAAATAAACTGTTGTTCTTATCACCAGGCAATATGTGAAAACGAGAATGAAATGTTTTATACTCTCAAAATCCAATTCTAATTACAATTTACATTTACAGTATATAGCATCCTTTCACGAAGGAGGACATCTCAAGCACACAGCTTACTGAGAACTCCTGCTACAAAGTGGAAGATGGAAGAGAATTGTATTTGCAAGTTAAAAAGATGGGTCAAGACGGATTTTAATAATAACAATAATTCTTGCATTTGATATAGCGCCTCATCACGTCTTCGAAACATCTCAAAGCTCTTCACAGAATATACTGTAAAGTGAATTGACTATATTTTGTGGGCAAAATGCGGCAGCCAATTGTGCACAACAGTTTTTAAAGTAGGGAGAAAGGTGGCAAGGCAGGGATGGTGGGATTGAGTTCCAAAGCATGGGGGTAGAATAGCTGAAAGCTTGCCCACTGATGGTGGATCAGGCAGAATGAGGTGGGGCCATAGAAGCCTCTGATCATCTATCCCTTATCCTTTGATAAGCGTCCATGGATTTTACAATATGTGGGACACCCAGATACACTATCCAAATTTGAGTTCCTCTTTACTTCCTGGAATGAAGCTAGTCTTGTGCAAAGAATTTGTTTTAATTACGTAAGGATTTCAAAATTGTTTTGGTAGTTCTAAACACCATAGGATACTCACCCGATTGCTACCAACGGTGGCAAATACCAAAGGATCGCCCTCCTTGCTGTGCCAATTGAACTGCACTCCGAAAAGTGGCTGTCCGTGATCCTCCTATGACAGAACAAGAGGAACAGTAAATAGTTATGGAAAAGCATAAACTAATCTGGATTATTCTCTTCAGCTGAAAATTAATAAAGCCAAAAAAAGTTCCTGTGGCTGTTTTCCTGAAGTAGTCCAGTATCATTTTAATTTGTACCTGACAGTGTTCTAACAAAACTAAGTGTCAAATTAAAAGTGCTAACACAAACAAAGAAATAAATTCATATAATTTTTTTCTCAAAATCAATATTTCAAACATTGTGTACAATTCCTGTTGAAGCTGTTTCAGACGTCCCCTTGGCTTGAAAATCACTATATAAATTAAGTTATATTGTGAATTGTATGTTTAATTAGGTGCTTAATGTAGTTTCAAGAAACATGCAGTCCAACTAAAACCCAATATCACCAGAAACAATCTTTATAAGCATGCATGCTGAAATTCCTATGCCACTTCAATTGAGGACTAAGAGAACAATTAATATAAACGTATCACTGAACTAATATTCCCATCATCGTTTGAATCAGCCAAAAGAATAACCTACCATAAAGCAAATAAACCCCAGAATTACGACATTTAAACAAAATGTATGTTGAATTTCAGACCCAAACCTTAAGACTGTTGACACATTTGAAGGAATATTTGCATTTCTTTGACTTCCACTTCCCCTTCCCCCAACTCTTCCTTCCAGGGACATTTGGTGTGTTTGTAGGAGTGTCTGGTCGCTCCGTATTTGTACCACTCTCTATACTGGCAGCATCGTCCTGAGAAGAAAAGACAAGACATTGAAATCCGGTATGTACAAAAACAAGATCCAGCAACCACTACACTAAACATCACTCAAAATAAATGAATCAGCATATACAGAAAGCAATGTTGGAACATGGCAGGTACTATTCAGTCATCATAAAAGCAATTAACCATGTTTTTTTTCAATTTATCATTAAATAAACTTAAATACAATGAAAGTGCTGATATCACCACTTTCATATCAGCACTTAATTTTTTGCTTGAAAACACAGAGTTGTATTTCTTTTGTATTTGTCATTTATAATCAAACTCGCTAACCAGTTATGGAAAGAAATGCATTTGTTTCGACAAAGTACTTTCTAAATCTACAGCTGAACAAACAATTAGATATCTGTGAGTCTCTGTCCTCTTGGCTTCCCTCAACCCTAGCCACAATCACACCAGCGTTAACTTCCCTGCAACTATTGTAACAAAAATAAAGTTCTGTTGGTGAGTCAGTGATCTACACTACTTCTCAACCATTCCAAGAATAAATGACCAAAATCAGACACTGGTTTGTACCATTAACCTGGTTACAGTTTGAACAACAACTTGCATTTATATAGCACCCTCCATGCCAGGCGCCGTCCAGAGCGCTTAACATGCCAAGCCATGGGGAGGGGGAAGGTGACCATAGGCACAGTCGAAGAGGAGGGTCTTCAGGTGCAACCTGAAAATGGGGAAAGGGGGCAAGGCGAAGCTTTGGGGCAGTGGCTGAAGACATGGCCTCCGATGGTGGAGTGGAGGATTCGAGGGACAATGAGGAAGTTGGAGCCAGCAGAGCGGAGGCAGAAGATTCTGCTGTGAGGAGAGAGGAGATTGGAGAGATAGGGGGGGTTCCAAGGCATAGAGGGATTTAAATACTAGAGTAAGGATCTTGAAGTCGATCCGCTGTGACAGAGTCAGTGGAGTTTGACAAGGACTGGCGTAATGGAGTGAGCTTGTGGAGTGTGGTATTGTCAGAGACTGGTAACATGGTGGAGGTGGAGGAAAGCGGTCCTGGTCAGGCACTGAATGTTGGGGGAGGAAGGATAACGGGATCGAACCTGATGCCTAAGTTGCGCGTGGGTTCAGAGAGTTTTAAGGACAGGGTAGGGTAGGTTGAGGACGTTAGAACCTTACTTGAACATCTAGAGCATGTGTAAACCAACTCCAGGAGATGCTTTATACTGGAACTGAATTGCTGTTTTTATACTTGGCACTGCATTATACAAAAATCCAGCATCAAAAGTACCATAACTATTTGGAAGAGGTTACCACACAGGTAAAGGTGGCATCAATTATGATATAAAAGCAACTAGTATGAAGCACTGCTGAAAAGGAAGAAACTTTTTAAGACTAGAAGACTGTATCCTTTCAATCATTAGAAAGTTCCACTAGTAATGGGGGAGTCCATGAGCACCTATTTGTGGAAACATTAAAATGCATGAATGGATTTCTGCACTCCAACTTTGTAATGATCCAAAACAGGCAGCAACTGCCTCCTCATCTACAAAAATATGAAGAACTCACGTTGCATTCCAGACTGTAGTAATCACACATCAGCAACACCCTCTTGTCTCTTTTTTACATTTTACTTGGCTGTGCGATTTTCCATAACTTTTGTAAGAAAATGCTAAGAAAATAGGGTCACTCCAGCATCAAATTTTTAAAAAGCACTATGGTCACGTCTCTTGCTTTTTCTTACCGGGGAGGAAAAAATGAAAGAGTATTCAACAGAAAGACGGAATAATCAATGGAAAAAAATGTTCAGTGATGGAATCAAGTCAACCTCGGCAATCTTACAATTAAGTCTCAACATAGTAGTTAAGTGGCATTAAGCCTGAATTTTCAATACATTTATTATAATAATAAATAATCCTTACATTTGAGTTGGAGCTTTTTAGGTCAGGAGGATGTGTGCCTACATTTCTCTCTCTCATCCTGCACCTACCCAGATCCATTCTCTCCACTCTTTCCTGGGAGTTCAGATAAATCGAGTACCCTATAACCTCCCACATATATATTTTGTTGACAAAATCACTGTGCATATAGATATCAGCATATGATTTATACGGTGTTGTAGTGGAAGCCTGGCAATTAAGAAATATACTGAAATTTCTTCTCAATTTCCAGGCAGTATCTATGCAGCAAGTTCTCACAAGATAGATAGGCAAGTTTTCTCTGATTTGTGGAAGGGGCATCAAACGGTCTTCCTTTTTGTTTTCATAGAACTAAGAATGAGGCAAAAAGTAGGCTGGAGAATTGAAGGGAGAAACCTAATTTAGTAAGCACAGCGTGTGGATGGCGTTCACCTGTGTTTGTTTATAAGTACCTCTCGCCCACCACCACCCCCCATCAGAAGCCACAGTAAGGGGGACATTTCCCTGGACTGAAACTAAATTAATAAAATTCTCTCTTAAATCGGGTTGTTACTTGATCAACAAAATGTTGGGAAGTTCCCTTACTCCACACGCCTGTTTACGTAGCAGCAAATAGGAACCTGGTTATTAGTTGATTGCCAATCACTTATCTGGGGGTAATAATTCCTTCAAATGTTTTTAAAAATTGGTCACGTAATCCACAACTGTTTGTGGGACACTGCTGTGCGCATTCGGCTGCCGCGTTTCACCCACAAAGCATACAGTCAATTCACTTTACAGTATATTCCGCAAAGCGCTTTGAGACGTCTCAAAGACGCGAGAAGGTGCTATATCAAATGCGAGGATTATTATATATATTATTATTATTATTATTAAAAGGGTTCCCATTGGGATATTTGAACAGAGGTGGGCTGCGAGGAGCTCAAACTAAAGTTTCGAGTACAGGGGCTCTCTGGAGGGGGGAGGGACCCGCCGGGGGGGGGGGGGGGGGGGTGGCTGTAGGATGGCAATGAGGCGCTGATCATCGCCAGAGCAGAGACCTGATTTAAAGCATCGCCGCCCCCGGACCACATCACAGCCGCGGCCTCCACCGAGCGACGGCTTGAACACACATTTACATTTAAGCAGCTCAGACCTCCCCGGAGGCTCGCTGGCCGGGCCGGGGCTGACATATCGGGGCTTATCGCCCGAGCACTCACGTTCTCGTCGCCGGAGGCCTCGGGGTTGCTGTTCTCGTCGCTCGGCTTCTGCCTCTTTGCCGGCATCTCGCCTCGCGCCGCGCTCTCAGACATGGTGCGCGCAAAGAACGCCGCCTCACTGCCGCAAACTGGCTCGTGTGTGTCTGTGCCTCCGTCCACCCGCCCGCGTCGCCTCACTGCCGCAAACTGGAACGTTCGACCACACTGCCGCAAAGACGGGCTTGTGGTTTGCCGCCTTTTTTCCAACCTGCGGGTGCAGGAGGTGCTGCAGCGCACTCGCCCCTCAGTCAGAAGATTGTGGGTTAGCCCCACCATCAGCACTTGGAATCACATAGTCTAAGCTGACGCGCAGCGCTGGGGGTGTGCTACATTGTTGGAGGTGCCGTCCTTTGGATGAGATGTTAAACCTGGGTCCGATCTGTCTGTTCAGGTGGATGTTAAAGATCCAATGACACTATTCCAAAAGAGAAGAGAGTTTCTCCCGGTGTCCCGGCCAGTAATCCCCCAAATATAATTGGTCACTCACTCGCATGGCTGTTTGTGGGACAATGCTGTGCGCAAACTGGCTGCCACAGGTCACCCACAAAATACATAAGTCCATCCAGTTTACAGGATATCTTGTGACACACCTTGAGACATCTCAACGACATGATGAAGCACTACACCAAATGCAAGGATTATTTTTATTATAACTCAAGCAGGCTCAGCGTTGTGGGTGTCTGACGATGTGGAAACCCACCACAATGCTTAAGCGTATCCAAACCAAACAGAATTCCATGCATCGCACCTACACATAGAAATTCCAGAGATGTTTTATTGGAATGGAATGCACACTCCCTGAAGGGATGTATTCCTGCTTACCCAATGCCAGAGCGTATCAGGTGCAGTTTGGCAAGAGCCAAGACTTGGGCATCCTAAAATATGCATTAAGGTACTGATGGGAGTCTTAAGCTAAAACTGCATAGCCTTACATTGAAGGGAGAGAGAAACACAGCATTTAACATAGATTAACACAGTTTGTACACTTAGAAATAGGCCACTGGGCTCAACCAGCCCTTGCCGATGTTTATACTCCACATGAGTCTCCATCCATTCCTTATTCCCTCCCATACCCTTCTATCCTATAGTTCAATGGTTAAAGCACTCGCCTCACAAATGAGAGACCTGAGCAGGGTGAAACGTTGGGCAAGTTTCCTTACTCCACACACCTCTGTTTACCTGGCAGTAAGTAGGAACCTGATGATTAGTCAATTGGTGAATCGTTTTCCGGGGGTAATAATTCCTTTAAAAAAAATTAGTCACTCAATCCACGACTGTGGGACACTGCTGCGCTCAAATGGCTGCCGCATTTGGCACATAAAATATACAGTCAACTCACTTTGCAGTATATTCTGTGAAGCACTTTGAAACATCTCAAAGACCTGATAAGGCACTATATCAAATGCGAGGATTATTATTATGACGATTGTTCCCTTCTCTCTCACTGACACTGTATATGTGTAGTTGTTTCTTCTTCTGTTTCATGTTTTCATTACTCACAGTTTAATTTTGGTTTCTAAGAGTTGTCAGTAAAATCCTGAAGGTAAGACATTTACGGTATGAAACTAGTTTCCCCAAAGCACAGTCTGGGGGTCTCCAAACATTGGCTGTCACCAACCTGCGTCTAATACTCTGGAATTAGGTAAGCAATAAGCAAGCTGAATCCCTCTGAGTTCAGATGCATGGAAATTTCTATACATGTATATAATCATTAGTAATTCTTGCATTTGATATAGCATCTTTCATGTTGGGAGGGTGTGAAGTGTGGTGACTGTGTATTTTGTAGGCAAAGGTGGCTGTCAATTTGCCTATAATAGACAAATTGGCAAAAAATAGCCATGAGGTGAATATATAACTCTATCTGCATTGGATACTCCCCCTCATGTTGGACCAAAAAAAACAGTCAATCTATGATTGGTGATCTGCGCCAAGCAGACGCATGCAGAGGCTATATTGCTTTAGGCATCAAGGAATGTGATGTGTTACAGATAGACAAGAACTTATTCTTGAACATTGTTATATCTACACAAGGAGACAAATTGGAGGAGGGAGGAGTCACAAAACGAGGTATTAACAGCAATGATTACATTTCAGAAATAAATCTTGAAGAGTTTTACCCAGCTGACTGGGCACTGGGCTGGTGCAGTGTGCACCTCATGCCAAAACCCTAGATAATTATTTGGAGAGAACAGGTTTGCAGGGCTATGGGGAGAGAGTGAGGGATTGGGATTGATTTGGATAGGCCTTTTCAAAGAGCCGGCACAGACATGATGGGCCAAATGGCCTCCTTCTGTACTGTATAATTCTAAGAAATCCTACCTAGCCCTTGACAGTTTTATAGCTGGAAAAAAGGTGGCAACAACACATGAAGCAGGCTGAGTGGAGGGATTGTCAAATATATTTTTATAATTGCACACCTGCTTTGATTGTACTGTGATCAAATCTCATTTCTCATTGATACATGAAAATCACAGTTGTTATGCTCTGCCACATTTTAAAATTTATTTTGGAACTGTTTAATTTCACATGCATATTGTTTCCCTCTTTTGACGATTTTCATACTATTATTAATTCCCTTAAATGCTTATAAGTAGGAGACTGAAAAGTTACCAAGATAAGTGGAAACTATAATGCTAATACAGTTTTATGTTTCATATATTAAAAAATCACTGTCAGGAATTCTTTGATGACCTGCAGGTCCAGTTATACAGACTAAAATATCACAGGTTGTTTTCCAGGTTAACTGAATTAACTGATCTCCGTTGGATTACAATTTGCTTTTCAGTACCCCTAAAATATAGAGAAAAACCAGCCAGGGTTTTCCCACTCCTGAATATATAGCCTTAGTTTGAAAGTGCATGTGTACACATCTGAGCCCTCAAATTCAAAAAGGACTGCAGATAAAAAGTTTCTAATTTAACACTATTAAGCATCAAAATATGGGCAATACAGATTAAATATGTGTCATATAAACAAGATGCCAGAACATTTAATACAGAAAAACACTAGAGGGCATACTTGTACTGTTGCATTGAAGCCATTTGCACCATTTTAAAATTAGGAAAATTGTTCAATTACTGTTCAGTATGTAATTATGTAATATTTATCAGTATTGTTCAAGCCACTCAACTATTTATTTTCCTTTGGGGCTTCAACCTTAGGCAAATTTTCTTACTCCACACTCCTCTGTTTACCTAGCAGTAAGTAAACAGAGTCGTTTGATAATTGGCAGATTGCTTTCCAGGAGCAAGAATCCCTTCCCAAACTTTTTTTTAGAACTTGGGCACTCAATCTACGACTATTTGTGGGACACTGCTGTGCGCAATTAGCTGCTGTGTTTCATCTACAAAATGTACAGTCAATTCACTTTACAGTGTATTCTGTGAAGCACTTCGAGATGTCTCAATGACGTGATAAGGAACTATATCAAATGCAAGAATTTTTATTATTATTTTTACCTCCCTATTTTGAGACCCTATCTGGATTCCTTTTAGTGTCTCCCAAATGTGATGAAAAGAAATTATGAATTTAAGTGGACCATCATTAATGTGAACTCCTGTCATTACTATGTTGCCTTCCGATACATAATTTTTCAACATTCCAATATGTTCCGATATGTTGCTCTTTTTCAGTTAATGTTTTTGTTCGCCAACAAAATACACATTCACTACGCATTACAGTAAAGCACTTGAGATACTCTGACGTGAAAGGCACTATATCAAATGCAAGGATTATTATTATTTGTCATCTTCTTACTTGCCTCGTTCAAGGCACTACTCGAGACCCTCCTTTTTGACCATGCCTTCAGCCGCCCTCCTACCCCCTCTGCCCTCCCTCATCCCAACCCTGCTCCCCACACTTGGGTCCTGATCCCTGACTGTTCAGCGCCTTGGAATGTCCTCCCGATGTGAAAGGCGCTTTACAAATGTAATTTTGTTGTTGTTGTAGTTTGTATCTACTATGTTTTCACCTTTGAATTCTTTCCAATTTAGCTTTAATTTGGCTTCTGCGTTTTTCACTTTTGTTTTAAATGAACAATGAAGTTTATAATAATAATAATAATAATAATAATAATAATAATAATCCTTGCATGAGACATTATTATTGTTTTTTTTTTGGAGGGATTATTTATCATGTGACATTGAGAAATCACAAGACAGCATTTCAATTGTTGCCCGCAGTCCTGCAAATCAAATGATCTGCTAAATTACCTCAGCAGGTAGGAAAAAAAACTCATACCCTCTTTCTATATAATGGTTCTGGAATATGACATAAACTAAAGGCTTCTGTCGGATTTTGAGTATTTGCCACATTTTTATTCCCTTCACATTTGCAATATCTCAAAGTGGAAATTGTGCTAAGGCTGGGAATCTGCCAATCAACTGACAACATTGGTTTAAAGCCTGTCAATAAATTAAGCATATTGGCAGCCTGCCTCATCATTTTGACTTGCAGCAAGCTTTCCGCTGCAGGCAAACATAACATATAAAGTGGTATAACCCTGCAACTCGTTTCCTCTGGCCCATTTATGAAGTCCAGGTTCAAGTCAATATTTTTAAGTGCCTTGGGATGTCCTCTTGAAGTGATTGTGCTATATAAATATATATTGTAATTTGTATCAAGCGGGAGGTAGATTTATGGTAAACATGTGGAAGTTGCTGCAGTCAGGAAGGGTTCTGGTCTATAATGTTGCTGACTAACATGGAGGCAGAGTCAGCTTCACAGTGGGCAACGCTATTTGCCAAAACCTCTCACATGAGGATGTGGATTAAGCAGCTGGTGCTGAGTAAGGCCGGTATGCCACATTGGACTGGGAAATCGAGAACATCAAGGTGGCTGGAATGTCACAAACTATCTTGTCAGATAGTTGTTGAGGAAACTCTGAAGCTTGGCCAACAGCTGCTAGAAGGCATTACCTGGAGTCCCAGGTCTTTAACATGTGTTCATTTAGCCATGACTGGGAATCCATCTTGATTGGTATACAGAGAGGTAAGTAGCTGCTGCTCAACTTCCACACTGATGGTTCCGGCAATTGGAGGTGTGTATCTGATCTGAGGGTAGGAAGATGGTGCAGTGTTCTCATGTTGAGCTATATGTTGCCCACCCGGAAGCTCACAGGGAGT